TCTTTAGCTTCCCTTTTATGTGTGCATAGATATACCACAATTTGTGTATTCATCTATCAGATGGTGGGCATTCAGGTTTGTTTCTGCATTTTGACTATTTTAAATAATGTGGATATGATTATTCATGTGTAAGTTTTCGTGTAGATACATGTTTTCATTTCTCTCTTTTTTCCAGTTGTAACTCCAGACAGGATTCAGAGAGTACAAGCCCTTCTCTGAGATTTTCTTTACCCTTCTGAGTTTGCCTCTTAAAGAATTCTGCATTAACCTTAAGAGTGCAAAGGAAAGTGTTCATTTCTCTTGAATGAATATGTGGTGGTTGAAATTCAGAGTTTTTTATTTCAATGAAGTCTACTTTATATACCTTTCCGTTTATTTTTGCTCCCCCAGCTAATAAATAATTACCTACTTAATGGTCATGAAAATTTATTTTTCTAACAATATTAAAACTTAATAGTTAGGTCTGTGACCTATTTTGGTTAATTTTCATAATGTGATGTGAGGTAGGGGTTCTGCACATTTTGAACTCAAATATTTACGTGGTCTTTGTCTACTTAAATAGGAATTTGTACCCATTTCTTAGATTTTGTCTCTTGCCTGGTATGACTATTGGTAGGTTTCCTTCATATGTGTACACAACTAAAATTTATCATAATCTAATTCATATTATCATTTACTTTAAAATTATCAATATTCACTGAAATATAGTACCAGGGTTTTCCTTTATAACCCTCCTATGTGTGGTTTGAAGCCTCATATGTTTCTGTGTTTAATTCTGGCATACTATAATTTCATAGACAAATAATATATTTTCCTTCACAGATCGTTTACTATTCAAGAGAAGAGTGATGGAAGTACTTAAGATTCTCTTATAGTTGGGGACTGGCAAGTACAGTTGCTATCTCAAAGTCTCTACTCCAAAGGAGGAACCTCCATCCCAGCTTCCTTACTGTCTGTCTTCCTTGGCTCTGTCCAAATAGTTCTCAGCAATTTGGAAGCTCTAGGGGCACTGGGGTTTGAACTCAGCAGAGTCTTTCCTGGCTTTTTGAGCTCTCACATGCTAGGGTGAAGGGGGGGCGGGGGGGATGGTGGTATTGTGATGCTAAAACTGACTGCTGTTGTTACTGGGAAGACTAAATGCTACTTGGTGCTTTTGAAAAAGGAAGACTAGAAGCCAGGCTTAAAAAAAGTATCTAGTTGTCTCTAGATTTGTTTCCGTGAAATACATATTCATATATTTTCCTAAGAAAAAAATTACCAAGTTACAAGAATCCTTTAATTTGATAAAGAGCTAATTTTTACAGAAGGAGCAAGTAGTAATCTCATCACTGTTTTCAGGACAGCATGTTTTCTTCCTTCATCATAGGGCTCAGACAGGTTTCTTTCCCTGTTTTTGTTTGGCGTTATCCAGTGTGTAACGTGTATTTCATCCTTTTTAGAGACAATCTCAGTTCTCTTATATTGCCAGTACTCCTGCATATCCAGTGCCTTGGTGTTTAGTACTATTTTTCATTCGCATATTTTGCTGTTTAAGACCTCATCTTTGTACATGCAGGGTTTTGTTGTTGTTGTTTGTTTTGTTTTTTAATTTCCATTGCAGTACTGGGCTTCAAACTCAGGGCCTTGCAGTTGCTAGGCAGGCACTCCAACACTTGGGCCAAGGGCCAAACCCCAGCCCTTTTTGCTTTAGTTATATTTCACATAGGTCTCGTGTTTGTTCCCTGGCTGGCCTAGATGATATCCTCCTTTTTATGTTTTCTGTGTAGCTGGGATGACAGACATGCAGCCCCCGTAACTACCTTTTACTGGTTCAGATGGGATCTCACTTACTTTTTGCCAGGGCTATCCTCAAACTGCAATCCTCCCTTATCTCCACCTACCAAGTAGCTAGGATTATAGGCCTGCACCCTTGCATCCATTTTGCTTTGGGTTATTTTTGAGATAGGGTCTGTGCTTTTTTGTCTAGGCTAGCTAGCCTGGGCCATGATAACTCCTCCCTACCCCTTGCTATGTAGTTGGGATTACATATGTACACACCATGCCCAGCTTATTTGTTGAGATAGTGTCTCATTAACTTTTTGTCTGGGCTGATAAAACCTGATCCTCTGGATCTCTGCCTCCCAAGTAGCTAGAATTATAAGTGTGAGCCACAACACCCAGCCCACATACAGTTTTTTATGTGGTATTACTTGGCCAAAGTATGTTAAAATTTTTTGGCTGCTCTGTGCATATATTTTTATTAGTTTATAGTGTAGCTAGTTGTGTGCAAATAGTTTTTCATAGCCTTCCAGTGTTGTGATGTTTTTATCAGTATTATTTAAGCACTGTTAAAGCATCTGTAGTGGTAAAACTTGATTTTCATTGAAGTGGTACAGTCTTTCCTTGCTATCTATGGTTCTATATCCACAGATTCAACTAACCACAGCATGAATATATTCTTTTAAAATTGTGTTTAACATGTACAGTGTTTTTCCCTATTATTATACTCCAAGCAATATAACTATTTACAGAATTTTTACATTTTATTAGATATTATAATAATCTAGAGAAGTATACAGTGTGATAGTCCTGACTATAATCTCAGCACACAGGCTGAGACAAAAGGATCTCAAGTTTGAGGCTAGCTTGGACTACATCATGAGACCCTGACTCTTTAAAAAAAAAAAATTACAGGAGGATATGTGATGTGTATAGGTTATATGTAAATACTGCAGCATTTTATTTAAGAAACTTGAGTATGCTTTGATTTTTGTTACTGGTGGGGAGGGTTCTGGAACCAATTTCTGTGGATGCAGAGGGATGGCTCCTTAGTTTGATATCTGTTGGCAGGCATCATATTTGATAGTAGAGAGTCTTAATCCAAAAACTGACACCCTCAAAAGATGTTCTTTTGTTACTGTGGGCAGTCAGTGTTTCTCAGTTATGCATTCATTAGCAAACTCCTTGGGTAATTATCCCAAGATAAAATAATTGAAGTCACAAAAGTTCTCTCCCCTTCCCAAAATACTTATTTTAGAATGTCATTGGTGAGTTTTCTTAGTTTGCCCTAACTGTTGTTCTGGTGAGATCCATAGTCACTGTAAATCAGTATAGTCATGCCACGGAAAATGGGGAAACTGAGAAACAACCTCACTATTAGCAAAGCTGGTGTTTTGGTGCACCTGCTTTCTGTGTTCATGGGTATTTTCATGTTCATTCTTGTGGTTATCTGTAGAACATAGTTTTGAGACTCTCATTACCTGACATTGTACCATATGAGTTGCCCTGTGTTCATTGATAGTAAATAATATTCAGGTGGGTGTACCTTGGTGAGTTTTTATTAGTCACCATTTTCCTGTTACTGGGCCTATTTGGGTATAGGGGGATGCTAGAGTTTATCTACTTCAACTGGATTTCTAGAGCTGGAGTTTCTGGGTTTCAATGATAAGTCGTCAGTGATTGCCCAGACCTCCTTCTCACAGGCGGTCCCTTTCCACTGCCCAAATTGCAGGTTTGCTTCCTCAGTAAATATAGACCCGACTTCCTGCAGGCAGTCTTAATTCTGACATGGGAGCTAGAAGCTTATTTATCACCCATTCCCTTTAACAAGGAACCTTCCTACAAGTTAGCTTATATAGAATCCTGTGCATAGCGTAATTAATTGCAGCTGTGTAGACATCCCTGTTCATAAGAACAGGCATTATGAGAATATAAGCCAAAGGGAAGAGCCATTGTGGGGTAGGATTGTAGGATTGCTGCTTTTCTTCTTGTAACTTTAGGTAATGCTCTTGTTTTTGTTACAGTTTAAAAGGGGGATGTTTCTGAATTGATTAGAATAAATGGATGAAATAGCCCAGGCATCCTGAGAAGACTTGTGTAAATACAGCACTGATTCTCTACTGATGCATATTATGAAAAAATTTTTACCTTCTGTGTTAGACTGTAATAGGGCAAAGGGACAAGAAATCAGGCCCTGCATGAGGTGTCTGCCCTGCTTGAGTCCTGGCTGAGTGCAGCTGAGGCATCTGTTCTGGTCCAGGGCCTGGGTGCTGTGCGGGGCTTCCTCTGTAGGAGGAAGCCTCTCTACAGGTGGGGTGGGTGTCTTGTGAAAATTTCAAACAGGCTGAGAACGCTATCCTGACCTTTTGGCAGTAGTTTGACTTAAAAGTAACTTGTTTTCCATTTTGAAAAGGTTGTTGCAGTTCACAAGCCATTCACTAGCTTGTCAGTCATTCTGCCATGCCAGCCAGAGCTGCCTGTGTAACCCAGTTCTTTTGGGTAGTACGTTTTCTGCTACAGCTAGCACATCTTAAAAATTGCACCTTCAAGGTTTAAAATGTGATGGCCTTGGAATCTTAGATTTTACAAACATGGAGAAACAAATGGTATTGAGTTGGGTTGCCGTTAGCTGCTTGTGGCTATTTAAATTTAGACAAATTAAAATTAATACGTCACTTATTTAGTTGCCTCAGCCACATTTTATGTGCCTGTTAGGCATAGGTAGCCAGTGGCTGCACATTGGACAGCACAGGTAAACAGTGCAACTCCACTGTCACAGAAAGTTCTGTCAAGAAAAAAAGACTTATTTGCACGCTAAATGCAGAAATAATGGCACAAGGAGTTCATATGGTGTGTATCTTAAAGGTTTTTCTAAGCAAGCTTGCAATTGTCAAAAATTCCTACTTGGAGTGAGTACCTCTCAGCCTTTGAAATGAAGACATTCTGGGCATACCCAATACACCCCACTTACTTAAACCTAGAACTGGCGTGAATGGACTGTTAATTAAACCTTATTTACATCCACTGAGCCTAGCTGAAATATGACATGGTCAGTCCTTGGTACCTTAACGTTTATTGCTTAGAGGTGAAAAGCTAACTTTCTTTGTTGTTGCCATAAAGTTTTGAGCAGGTAGGTTGTCTGCTTCATTGAAAAGAACCTGGCTGGATCAATTATGGAAAAATACAAATTTGGAACTTTCTTGATACTGTTTTTGTTTTTGTTTTTTTGGTCCCCTCTGCAGGGGAACTGCGGCATATCACCAAGCTGAAACCCTGGAGCCTCTTTGATGTACTTGTGGAAAAGTATGGCTGGCCCCATGAAGATGCTGCGCAGTTTACAGATTTCCTGATCCCCATGTTAGAAATGGTTCCAGAAAAACGAGCCTCAGCTGGCGAATGCCTTCGACATCCTTGGTTGAATTCTTAGCAGATTCTACAAATATAGCATTCTGAGCTAGCAAATGTTTTCCAGTACATTGGACCTAAAACGGTGACTCTCATTCTTTAACAGGATTACAAGTGAGCTGGCTTCATCCTCAGACCTTTATTTTGCTTTGAGGTACTGTTGTTTGACATTTTGCTTTTTGTGCACTGTGATCCTGGGGAAGGGTAGTCTTTTGTCTTCAGCTAAGTAGTTTACTGACCATTTTCTTCTGGAAATAATAACATGTCTCTAAGCATTGTTTCTGGTGTTGTGTGACATTCAAATGTCAATTTCTTTTGAACGAAAAATACTTTCCCCTTTGTGTTTTGGCAGGTTTTGTAACTATTTATGAAGAAATATTTTAGCTGAGTATTATATAATTTACAATCTTAAGAAATTATCAAGTTGGAACCAAGAAATAGCAAGGAAATGTACAATTTTATCTTCTGGCAAAGGGACATCATTCCTGTATTATAGTGTATGTAAATGCACCCTTGTAAATGTTAATTTACATTAAATATGGGATGAGGACTCAAATTTCAGAAAAACTACCAAGTCCTGAGTGCTTTATAGTCTAAGTTGCATGTAGCAGACTTTCACTGCTCCAAGGAGTTGTACAAACTTTTCATTCCATAACAGTCCGTTTACATGGATTTCAAACAAAGTGGTTCTGGATTACAAGATGTCATTCCCGCTATGGCACTTTAAAGGAAGAAAACACATGCTTCTCACCCTAAAAATAATCTAGCGGTCCCATTTGTATTTTTGCATATTTTTAAAAGTACTTTTAAAAAAAAGTGATTTTCCTTTAAAAATGTAATGGCTTAGTACCATGTAGTATTGCCTCCTCCAAGTACTGTAAATTAAATATGTAGATTAAATTGGGCAAGAGAAACATGTTCAGTGTGTGGAATGAAAATACTCTATTTTTGGAAAAGCATGATTGTGTTTGTCTAAAACACAAGGTCTGGTATGTACAATTTACAATGCAATGGGCAAAGTATATGCTTCACACCTCAAAGGCAACAGTGACCGTGTTCATTCCATAGGCAGCTTTATGGGTTGGCGACAGCAAGTTTTACTCACTTTTTTTCATGAATGAGAAAATGATTTTTCCCTTTGCAAGTTGCACAGTTTCTGTTCATGCATTTCCTCAAAATTAATTGTAGAATCCAGGATACAAATCGTTAGTAGGCAATGCAATTTTAAAATGTATGCTATAGAGGTATATCCAGCCTCTTTTAGAAGTCAGTGGATTGAATGTCATTTTATTTTAAATTTTACATTCATTAAGGTGCCTCGTTTTTTCTTGACTTTGTCCATTAACATTTATCCATATGCCTTTGCAATAACTAGATTGTGAAAAGGTAACAAGTGTTGTAACAATTATTCATTGTTTGGGGTGCTTGCAGTTGTCTTAAAAAATTAAAGTGTTTTGGTTTTTTTTTTCCCCCCTAGACATTGCCTTGGTCATTGCCCTGTATTTTCAGTGGTAGAATCAATGAACATTTGCTATCAGTTATAGTGTCACCAAAACTTAAGGAAATACCAACATTCCTGATGTGAGAAGTACAGTTGTAGAACATGCATTAAAGCTTACTGTAAGGAAACTATTGTTTCTTAAGGGCAGGAGAGGTTTAGGAAAGGTGCTATAGTATAGATAGAGTCATTATCTAGAATGTCAGTGGTCCCTTTTTACTCATGTTTCACCAAAAACATACTGACTGCATTTTGTTTGAGCATCTCAAATTTTCTTTTTTAAAACAGCATTCACAAGGAACAAGGCACATAATTCTCTTAAGAATTAGCATTATATCACACCTTGCTGTGAGGTAGAATATACCATTCATTTATGAGATGTGCATGCTAAGTTTTTCTAATGTGGCCATAGTTTTCCTGTAGTTTCCGACAGATGGTAGCTACAGACCAGTATTTGCTATTCAGTAGATTTCCATAGAAAACATTCTTACAAGAACCACAGAGTACATTTATGTCTTCCCCAAGTCTATAAGAATTTTTACGAGGGTAATAGTACACTTAAATGAAATGTCTTCAGTTTCTGAATTTTAAGGTAGTATCTGTATGATAAAATACTCTAATTAGTTCACAATATAGAAACAAGTCTTCTAGAAGGAATATACATTTTTATTGGGTACCATGTGGTTTTAGCAGATTCTTGGTGGCTTGCTGATAAAAGAATGTATATAAGCTAAAGGAGAACCACTGGTTATGCTAACATTACATATCCAGTTCAGTGATTTTAGTCAAATGTCCTCTGTCTTTTCCTTCCTATGATACATGTAAAGTCTTCATGGAAAATTACAAGCAGTAGGTCACATACATGATTACAGCAGATTCAGAAGCTGGCTATCTGGAAACTGGCAGATAGAAATGCCCAAAGTCAGAGGAAAAAATAGACATGAAGAACTTCAAAAAAGCATACAGTTTATACAAATAAGTGAAAACTGTTTGCTTCTTCCTTTACCTGGACCATATTTAACAGGATAATGTAAGGAAACTTTGCATTGGTGTAGAGAACTTGTTTGTTTCTGAATTCAAATTAATTCTTAAATTATACATCCTTCTCACACTTTTTTAATATTCAAAGTTTAGTAGAGGACAGTATTTGAGGGTATATATGTCCTTCTTCAGAGTCACATTTAATCATTTAATATTCTACAGTTTACACAAAAGCTTCTATATGCTCATTTGGCAGGCCAATTTGAAATTGAAGAATTAAAAATACTTAAAAGGATAAGCCTATTAAAGAGAAAATGTTGATATTTCATATGCTAGTTAACTTTGTTCTGTTTGAAACTATCAGGGAATGGATGATATAAAGCCATTTCTTCTCAAACGTTTCCTTACTGAATATCGTAAGTAGAATTTTGTTTGACAAGTCAAGGATAGCTTGATTTATGTTCTTCTAAAACTTGAAGCTGATTAGAAGTGAACCCTAAATGAGCTGTATTAATGTACCGTTAGCCAATTTTCAAGGGAAATGGAAATTAAAATGATAAAACATGACTTAAATTACTATCAAATCTCATTCAGTCATTTTTTAAAGTCTTTTTTTTTTCTGATGAACAAGATTTGTATACTGTGCCCAAATTATGTTAAGTATTTGATGAAAAGTGTGTTGATAAACATTGCACTGCTACTGGATATATTTATTACTCTTGAGAGGTAGAAGGTAAAGTCTGGGAATTTTTAATTTTTCTAAAAGTAGATCTAGCATTTTGTATTTCAGCAATAAAATACTCACTTGAGAGGCCATCTCCATTTTATTTGACAGCTCTGAGGGCAATGTTGTTTTCCTTTTAATTTTGCATAGCCAAATTAAATTTAAAGAAATGTATTTCCCATGACTTATTAAAAAAAAGAAAACCTACAGCTAAATATTAAACATTAATCAGGACATTTCAATCATGTTCTAAAATGTGCAAATTAGATATTCCTGTTTTAGGCAAACTCTTCATTTTCAAACAACTGTTGTAATTGCAGTCTACAACTCTATCATGTGTGATGCATTAGTGGTCTGGATTCATTTTGTATCAGGTATTTACGTAAATTTACATAACATGACTATTTTAAATAATTGCTTGTGGCTCTTGTTCCTGAAAAAAGGCAAGTAGGAACCATTTTGAGAAGCAACCCTTACCGCCTCTAGCTGCCATCCAACTGAGGTAGTAGTTGCTAAAGAAAACTTAAAATTCTTTTCCTTACAAATTATATTTGAAAACTCTTAACTTGTGTAAAAACATTTAAGCAGTCCCCAATCTTAGAAGTTGTACAGGACAATTTGGTAAAACTGACATAATTGTGATTTATTAACATGAATTAAAATGCCCAACCAGTGCTTCAATGTGACAGTATATTTAAAATAAAAAGAAAGAAAGGTCATATACTGTACTACTTTCACAAAGATCACACAGTTTTTGCAAAAGACTTGTCATATGTACAATGCTATATATATATCAAATGAAAAAGGCTGTAAGCAATTATATATGCAAAAGAAATGCAGTATTTACAGTTTGTCAGACATTAGAAATCATCTATACATTAAATTACATTTTGTTTGCAAATAGCTGATTGATAAAACAAAATGAGCCATGTCCATACCAAACTATAAAAATCTGTATTGCATTTTATACCTAAGATGCACTCATAGAACTGCTGGCCAAAAAAAAAAAAAAAAGGAAAGAAATTAAAAAGAAAAATCCTCATAGTGCTATTACTTAGTTGTATACTCAATGTGTATGTATAAAATAATACAGAAAACATTCACTAAATGAATTTAACTGCAACAATAAAATTTAAAGGTCATGTAGCATTAGATCTACTGCCAGATGGAACAGCTGGAATGTTCACTTACAAAATAAAGATACCTAATACTGGCTGAACAGCACATTTCTTAAGGAATTTTAAAAAGCAAAAATGGGAAAAATACAATGGAAGAGCACTGGTGTTTTGTTTTGTTTTTTTTTTATACAAACTTTCATGTACAAGCTTTAAAAAGTACCTTAACAGGTACATATGAAATATACAGTTTATCTTACAGAACATTTTAAAAAATGTTATTGGAGTCCATTTTAATGCCACCCTGAACCATGGTAATTGTTCTGAAATGTTGGTGGCACCTGTGCTCTGTGAATTGGAATCTGTCCAGGCACTGGAGATGCCTGCTGAGGTCCTTGTACTCCATGTGGCAGGGCCACAGAGCCAGGATGAGGACAGAACCCTGAAGCAGTAGGTGTTGGAATACTGTTTGGTCCTTGGGGCTGGAGATGAGGACCTGCAACTGGTAATGGACAATGTGGCCCTGTTCCAGAAGGCTGGTGCTGGGGTCCCGGTCCCAAAGTGGTGTGATGTGTAGCTTGTGAGGGATACGGTGGTACAGCTGGATGACTAGTTGAAGGAAAAAGTGGAGGTCCTTGATGAGGTGGGTGGTGTAAGGCTTGACTTGATGTCGTATGATGCCCAGAAGCCAAAACACTGGAAGGAGGAGGTGGGGGTGGGGGTGGGGGTGCTGAATTTACAACATGCTGGTGTTGTGCTTGTAGACCTTGGAGTCCTGTGGAAGGATGGGGTGGTGGGTGGTGATGAGGGGCAGGACCAGGAGGTGGAGGGGGTGGTGGTAAATGGTGTCCAGCAGTTTGAGAATGAATATGTGACCCAGGGGTGACAGCATGAACTGGCCCTACTACATGTGCTACAGAGTGCTGCTGATGGGAATTCGGCTGTTGAACAAGGTGTGGTCCTGGAGCAGGTGGCGGTGGAGGCGGAGGTGGGACGACAGCAGCAGCAGTTTGATGGTGAATGGGGGGGTTCTGAGAGGGCAAAAAATGTCCTGGAGTAACATGGTGTCCTGGAACTGATTGCTGGCTTGTGGTGCCAGGAAGTGCTTGGTTTGGTCCAGATGTAAACACAGTTTGTTGGGAAAGACTACCTTTGAGCTGATTATAATTCTGAAAGTTTGCAGAGGGCTGCTGGTTTTGATAATAAGATGAAGAAGGAGGCGGAGGGGGTGGAGGGGGTGGTGCCGTACTATTCAGACTTTGTTGGTTAAACTGACTGTATGTTGCTGAAGATTGTCCTGAGGGTGTCTGTGTAAATAATGCTCCAGAAGTTGCCTGCTGAGTATTGGCTTGAAGGTTCTGTGCTGCTGGATAGAAATTTCTCTGAGACTCTCGCTGAGGGGTTCCAACTTGAGGTGACTGTGAATGATGAGGCCTGTAGGGAGATCCTAACTGCTGTGAAGGAGGCTTTGGTGAAAGATAACCATGCTGCACAGGTGTGTGAGGCGTGGAGGACTTAGGAGGGTTTTCTATGTGAGGTGACGGAGGACAGTGCAACTTCGTTGGTGCAGAAGGCAGCTTTTGGGCAAGTTGCTCGGTTGCATTTCGAACATGGGGCTGAGGATAGTTCTTTGAAAGTGCTGTAGTGTTATTTGATATATGTTTTTGTTGGAGCTCTGTTTTTAGGTGAACGCTGTTCTCAGCTTCTGATACAGTAACTGTTGCCTCCCAGTGGGAATCTGGTTTTGTGAGTATTTTCCCATGTGGTTGAGCAGGAATTACAGGTCCAGGTGAACCAGGCTATGAAGAGAAAACAAATTGTATAAGCTTAAGAAACAATTTTACATACCTTGAGATATATTCTTGTTGGTATTTAACGTTTTTTAAGTATTAACTTTTAAAGGGGGGGGGGGCGCAGATAACAGTATTAGTTTGAGAAGTCAATTAGAGGCTTGAGATTTTGAAAGGTCAAGTTTTTTCTGTACATTGAATAAATTCTGGTAGTGAGCTAAAATTGAATTCTCTTATTTTTTGTTGAAGACAACTTGAGGAAATAATGGTCTTTAAATTTAATCTGCCTTTTCTTCCTAAGAAAAGAAATATCTCTGAGTCTACTCCCAAAGAACTGTAAATACTTGGCAAGTTTCAATTCTGTAACTGAAATTTCTATACCCAGCCTAAGGATAAATTGCTTTGGGTAAATATACTTGGTCCCTCAAACCACTTGCACTTCCAATGCCCTTTCACATTCCCTTTAAGGAGTTCACATATCAATGACCCATACAAAACTACTTAAATGTATATGATAATTTTTTGTTTAGAAAAATAAAAAGCCAATCTCAGATTCTTCATCTTTAGTTTCCAGTAAAATATATGTTGCCTCAGGTTATCACATCTTCATAGGTCAGAATGGGTATCATTCCTTTTAAATGAATGTCACTGACCTTTTGTTCTTAGAGAATTGGCTGGTTTAAGTATTTCATTAAAAAGTTACGAATTTCTCAGACACCACTAGAATAAATAAGTAGAACTTCAGGAAAAAAAATAACTTGAATGTTTGGCCAGAATTGTCTGTTACAGTTCAGTGTGAGTGATGAGAGAATGAATAAAATAATAAACATAATTGAGTATGTTTGATAGGAAGTACCCAGAAATCACACACACAAAAAAAATCTTTCTGCACATTTACTATCTTTTCTGAATTCCATGTTATTCCAATATTATTTATTACCTTGCTTATTTTTGAAGGGCTTTTACAAGTGTTTTGAGAAGCATCTGCGGATGGGTATTCATTTGTAGTTGCAGATTCTAGATTTTCAGGATCCGGGTCTGTAAAGCAGAAGAAACCTACGGTAAATGTAAAATGACATGATACATTCTGTCTTTTATTGGCACCACAAAGCAATGTACATTCTGTTAGTCTAACTTTTTTTTTCTGATTTAAAAAAGTGTTTAAAATAACAGCCCTGATAGGTCATTAGCTTACTGACCTTCCGCAAGTTCACTGATAGAAGGGACTAGGCCCTTCGTGTGCAGCTGGGGAGTGTGATTTGAATGAGATGAAGGTGAAGACTGAACATGACTCGGTGAACATGAGATACATGGTGATTCTCCCCCTAGAGATGAAGCAGAGCAGACCCAAAGAGAACATTAGCGCTCACAGCAAAAGGAGTGCAGGGATTAGCCAACTCCACTTTTTGGTGAATGAACAAGCTTACTTACCACTGTCTTTATCTTTTCGGTGATCACTGAGAAGTAAAGCTCTCTGATAACTCCTTTCTCTCACTTGTTCCACTGAAGTGGAGGCAGTCCTTTAAAATAAAATTATGTCCTCAAGTCAAAGAAGCTACTGCCAGATAGTTTGGTTTTTCTGTGTCTCTTGATCGGCAACATGTCCTCTCAGACCCAGGATTGTGCTCTACTGGGAAAATACTTTGCTGTTAAGCTTTGAGAAAGCTAATCTTTTATTTTACTAACCATTCCCCAAAGTCAGATTTTTTTTTTTTAATTCCCGTTTATTTGAAAAACTCAGACTAAATTCCTTTGACTCCAGGAATTTCTTGGTAAAAGGAAGGGGGATGTTGAAGGTAGTATATTAACATTTGTAAGGTCACTTCCAGTACCAAAATATGGCCCTAACTGCTTTGTGTAGGGATTGTACCCTCTCAGGCAAGGGAAAGTGGGGGGGGGCAGGGTCAAGAAGCAAAGTGAATATGGCCTTCTGCCACATTGCCAAGACCCATCTTAAATGCTGCTGCTGCTTTCCCTACTGAAGAAAGAAGATTTCTTTCTTTTAACCTGATTTTCTTCCAAGATAACTGGTAGGGGTTATAAAGAACCTACAGGATGTTGCCTGTGATAAAAGTTCTTTAGAGAGGAACATTTCCATGAAAAATGTAAAAGCATTCTTAAGGAGTAGTGAACATAACGGACCTTAAATGTCCAGCTGATTAAAAATCCTGTCACTAAAGCTTTTTCAAAATTATGATCACAAATCACTGCTTACCCTTGGGAGAACACACACAGAAAGAACAGTTCACTAACAAAGACCTTTTCCTCCCTGAATGGTAGGTACACTTCAGAAATAGGCTTACCACTGAACTTCCGGTTCATTCTTCTCACTGGCAGTAGCTTCTTTAACAGGACAGTTATTGCTTGTTTCTTCAGAAGGAGCATTATAAAGTGCAGCTGGTGTTGGTAAAGGCAGGCTAGAAGTGTTTTCGACCTGCTCCCCATTTTCGCTACTGTGGACACACCCATCACCACTGTTGCTCAGGTTTCCACTTGTATGAGGTGATACATTAACCACAGCAAAGTTGTCCGTCTTAGAACCACTTTTTCTAGCTTCACGTTGTCTCTTACGGTATTCTAACAGAGAAACCTTGAGCAAGAAAGAAAAAGCAAATCTTTTATTCTTGTCTTACATGTCAGAATGTATTCTTTTTATTGAAAGAAAATTACTAGATTTATATTAGGAAAATTATATAAAATAATTTGATTTAAAATAATTAACAATTATTCAATGCCTACTATATAGCCAGGCACTGTATTTAGGTGATTTACATACATTATTTCATTAATCCTCACAACAACCCTACGAAATAGGTATATTATAATCCCCATTTTACAGATGAGGAAATTGAGTAACTCACTCACTCAAGGTCTCACAGCTGGTGAGTGTTGGAGCCGGGATTCGAACCTAGGTCTTACTTGAAAGCCCGTGCTCTTTCCACTATACTACATTGCTTCCCACAAAGTTGCCAACTGGACTCTGTTATAAAAATTAAAAGCACACATCACTAAAATTCTTTGACTTGTAAAAAGCAGTAAGCCTATTAACAAATTCAGTAAGTGCTCTAATTTCTGCCATTCCTGTGAAACAGGCATTATAATTGTCTCGAAATCGAACTTAGATAATTAAGGTATAATACTTATCTATTAGTATCATACTTTCCAAAATAATCTTACATCCGTGGCCTAAATACTATAGGTATTATGGGATGACAAATGAGGCATTTCTTCTATACAAGGCTGCCTGTTCAATGTAAAATAAGAAAAATAAGAACAAGTATTATTCACCTTTTTTTGGTTGGTGAATGGTTATTTTTAAGTTACTCGTTTAGTGAAATAAGGACTTTCCATATCACTAGAATTTTGTATTTTTCTGTAACATATTCTCATTAAGTGAGCTTTTACAAAAGGTTTAAAATGTACATGAAAATTTTACCTTGAATAACTAAAGTAAGAATGCCTTACATAATACATAATTACCAATTACCCTTACGAGTAGAATAAAAAAAATCACTATTAAAAGGACTATAAATTGTTAAATTGTAACCTTTTTCTTTTGTGGTGGATTCTGGGGTGTGCAATTCCCGTCGATCAAATTGTCATTAACAGTCCGTCCGAAACCAGAGACAAGCCCATCTTCAGAAGTACAAAACACAGCTGTTTCCAGAAACATGCCTCTAGTATCATCCTGCATCAGGCACTTTGACTCACTTATTCGGAAGCCTCCTCCAACTTCCAACTGATGTGAGGGGGTCAGGTCCCTCAAGTTAGAGTTCACTGAGAAGTTAACTCCCGTTCTGTCAGGACTCTTTACCCAGGAAGAGTACATTGTGCCCCGTCCAGAGTGAGTCGAGTCCAGCTGGTTGTTAGGCTCAGTCCTGTCATGTGCAGGTGTCTCCATGGTTGTATGTAAGGCTGCTGACTCAACTGCATCGAGTCCCAGCTGAAGGTCTGCCCCAGGCTCCTTCTCTCCAAGACACGGCCTGCTGGCCTCAGTCCTACTCCTAGGGCTCACATAACCAATAGTCTTTATTTCCTGCAGACCCAGCTCCGTTAAATTGGAATTTCTAAAAGGCCCCAAGGTTAATATGGTTGAAGATCTGTCATATCCCTGTTTACAGAATTAAAAAGAAAAAGCACACAATTAATGACATCTTGGGATTGTTTACTTCAAAATCTATCAGTAATTTAAGTAAAATAATATTAGGAAAAAATGATGAATTTAACGTTTTTTAGGTAATTTCTTACCTCTTGACTATAAGTTCGTCTCTTTATTTCTGGAGAACTTTCTGGGGAAGAAATATTCTATATAAAAAGAAATAATCAGAATTGAAAATTAAAGTTCATAACCAAATCCATGATATATGTAGAGCTGAATACTTAAAAATGAAAAACTACTGCATGGACTTTGGTTTTAGATTTTGTTTCCATTCCCCAAAGAAGATACTTGCTTAAAGGTCAATTTCATACAGTCATTGTATCAAATGCTCATTTCAGTACAAGCAGAGATGTTTAAATTTACATAATGTATGTTCCCGATTTCTCATTAAGTTTTTCAGCACACTAGTTGTTAAAGGGAAAGAAAAAAAAAAAGATAAAAACTTTTAAGGAAACCCTATTTACAGGGGTTTAAATTTTTTACCTCAAAGTGCATGGTATTTCCTGGTGTACCAGGAGTTACTGGAGTAACTGGCGAATAGATGGGTTTATAACCATTTCTGTAAGTTTCATCATCTGATTTTATCCGTGGAGGAGTGGCAAATGACGGGTCTGTAGAAGTAATATCTGTGTGAGTTGGTGTAGCATACGGCGAGGGAGTAGGTGTGGAGCTTTCTGAGTAAACGGAGTCTAGCAGTTGAAAGAGTCTTCGTTTTTTTAGTGGCGTAGTCAAATCTGCTGGTGAAAAAAATGTAAGAAATAATACTGCTGGTGTTTGCTCAAATCTGTACTATATTACATTCTGGGAAAGAAAACATCAACAATAGCAATTATGATGACTTTTACCCCCAACAACAAACTATATGATTTTAAAAAATGGTATTAATCTGCAACAATCACCCCTCCAAAATTAATTCCACTATTAGCAAGCATTATCTTGCCTGAAGATTTACAAGCCTAGGAGTCACAAATCTTACAAGTACTTTAGTTACTTTAATTGACCTCTAAAAATTCTTTTGCATGTGTTTGAAAGCAGCCAGCCTCAAAGCCAAAACTAGGCCTTTAAAAAATTCAGCCCTAAACCCCAACATAACTCTGTATGATGAATTGTCTACCGTTAAGTAAAAGGTTTGGAGAACAGAAAGGAGAAGCTGCCTAACACTATGCTTTTCTTCAAAAGTAGAAAGTCTGTTGCAAAGCCATAATACAGCCTGTCATGTTCCTCACACAAAAACCATACTAAAAAAACAAAACAAAAAAACTCTACCTGGAAGGGAGCAGACATCATTTAACAGCAGTGGACTTTTATTTTCACCATTGACTGTAGGACTTCCGGATCTTTCATGACAGGGTGAATTAAATCTATGTAAAACTGTTGAATTTTCTTCTTCCAGAGCTTGTTTCAACCATCGCTAAATAAAACAGAAAAATAAAGGAATAGTAGTAACCAGTTTGTAGCTGTTCATGGAGCCTGTAAATGCAAAGCTAATTCTGCAAAGATAGTAAGGAATGAGACTGGCGTTTGGTTCATCCTAGATTTTTATATCTGAAGAAAAGTTACCTTTTTGCATGACCCAGAAATGTTTTCAGTAGGTTCTTTTCTTCTCCTTTTTTCTGAAAGGAATGGTGAAGTAAACCTAATATAATGCTTAGGAGTAGAGTACACATGAGGACTGTAACTGAGGCCTGGTAAAGAATTGAGCTGTGTAGCCAGCACTTCCGGATCTGTGGTTATGCGCAGAGGCCTTTCTGAAAGGCTTTCGGAGGGTTTTCCTGTTTTCTCGTTCTTCTCACTTAACCACTCATTGACCAAGTGCTAGAGAAAAGAAACATTTGGATCACCATATATGTAACAGCACAGATTCTCCTGGGGAATATTCTAATACCAAATTAGAAATTATTATATCATCTAAAATGATAAATTGGATCATTTAAATCATTCCTATTATCTTAAAAAAATCAGTGTATCATTCTACATTTCTTTGGTTATTTACTGTTATTTTGAGATTTTCTGAACGATATTTAATAGGAGCAAAACACAGGTTGTTTTTGTATATTTTGTACTAAGTAAGGACACTAAGGATTTTTAATATAGTAAAGTCTAGGAGATGTGAGTACCACAAACCTAAATCTATGTTTATTGTTGCTTCAATTATATGTATAAAATGTTCAGTTTGAGTGGGGCACTGGTGGCTCACGCTTGTAATCCTAGCTACTCAGGTGGCAGAGATCAGGAAGATCAAGGTTTGAAGCCAGTTATGGCAAATAGTTCATGAGACCCTATTTTGAAAAAAAAAAAAAAAAAATTACAAAAAAGGGCTGGTAGAATGGCTCAAGCAGTACAAGTGCCTGCCTAGCAAGCATGAGGCTCTGAGTTCAAACCCCAGTGCCACCAAAAAAAAAAAAAAAGTTCAGTTTGTTAGAAAAATCTTGATTTTAAGCAGTGCTTTCCTACCCAAGGTGCCCATCATAATGTTCTGGAGACGGGTCAGTGCAGAGACAGTAGAAACAAATAAACCTGTCAGCACCGACAATCCCTGATTTAAGGGGCTTGCAATCTCTTAAAGGTTCCTGTGGTTTGAAAATTTACAAGGTCCTTTTCTTCTGTTTATTCTTTGATCTATAATGTACATAATTCAGTCTTTATGGGATCCTAAAGTACAGTGATTTCTCATTTAAAGAAAAAACAAAAATACTTACTGACCAGGCACAAGTGGCTCAAACCTATATTCTAAGCTACTTGGGGAGGCAGAGATCAGGAGGATCTCAGGTAAAGGCCAGTCTGGGCAAAAAAAAAAAAAAAGGCTTGCTCAAGTGGTAGAGCACTTGTTTACCAGGTGTGATGCCCAGTACCACCAAAAAGCAAAATAATACAAAAAAGCAAAATAGTAACATTTTCTTTGCCGTCAAGACATTCCTGTTTTGATATTAAATAGTATTCTTTGAATTTCATATTTTAAATGTAAAGTCTAGAAAAAGTATAGATGTGCTTATGTACATCTACCCACAAATGTATACATTTCCAGCACACATTCCACTATGCACTTTTTGTGCATCTATTCTCTTCCTCTTTTCCTGTGTTAGAATCTTTGCAGGACAAGCAAAAGAATGTAGTGCTGAGCACATGGAGTCTGGAGCCAGACTGCCAGGAGTGGATCTTGGCCTTTCCACTTACACTGTGACCATGAGCAAGTTATGTAATTTTTGTATGTCTCAATCTTAAATGTAAAAGAAGGGTAATAATAGAACTCAGCTCTGCAGATAGTGTTGTGAGGATTAAAAGTTAAAAAACATAAAGCTTTTAAATAGTATCTGACACAGAATAAGAGCTATGATTATTATGCTGAATGAGGGAAAAACATAATTTTGGCAGTATTTGACAAACTATATTGTGTTGCGTAAAACAGGCAGGCAAAAGAGAATTCTTAAAGAGCATCAGAAATGACAGACGAGTTTCCATTTCACACTAGGGGAATGCAGGAGCCCTTAACTCAGACCCTCAGTTTAAGTAAACACATAGCACCACAATAATTTAGTCATTTAATGATTAAAAGCAGGGTTATAACATTTGTAATCAAGAAAACAGTTTAATTTCTTTTAAGACCCAAGTGTTTTCTTTTTTTTTCACTTTACAAAGAAAGAAAAGATGGAATTGATTTTTGTCCTTCCAAGGTGAGCAAAAATAACACTTACTGTTAAAGAGATCTGTGGTGCTTAAAAGGAGAGAACAGATTTGAGTTAGATATTAGGGAACTCCCTAAACTCATGACACTTGGGCAAGAAAATTCCTTTGTCATTAGAGTATAATCCTGGGTTCATACTAGAATTTTATTAAGTTTACTTTTCATGGTTTAGCAGTCTGCCTACAAACTGTATGGAATTAGGTAAAAACAAAGACAAAAATGAAGTTTCAAAGTATTTGGTTATAAAAGAGTGTCAGAGAGATACATGTTGTATCCACCCCTTCTTGAGCAGGGTAAGGATGACTACTTTTGTACCTCTGCTCTGCAAGGTGCCATGTTTTAATCAGAGTGGGAGAGTACCAGCTTTGTAAGGTGGTGCTGTTACCTCGAAGCTAAACATCTCAGAGTGCTTTAATTTTGTGAGTAGTTTTCCATAAATTGCTTCATTAAATCTGGCAGTAGTTTTCCAAAGGTTTTTATTAATAATTTCACCTAAAATTAATCTTCCTAATATTCACATTTTAGTAAATTATATGTAAATCATCACTTTCTTCACATTTAATTCTTAGAATCAATCTACACAACAGAATTTATGATAAATAAGGGTTTGGCAATATGGCTCAGTGGTCACAAAACCCCGGATTTGATCTCCAGCAGGGGGAGATGATACATCTAAAACAAGTTTCAGAGAAATGCAAATTTTGTATACAATGTAAGCAAGCTTATTTAAAGAAATCATAAATTGCAATATGAAGTCTCCATATACTGAATCTTCACACTAATGTGAATATTTACACTGACTTTATGGTTTGGCACTTCTCATTCTTGGCCAAAAAAATTTGCAAGTAGAAAATTTATGCCTCTTGTTCAGTTTAGTATGAGATGTTACAGATTAAAATTTTAATAAGACTTGGTGGAAAAAACATCCATTAAGAATCATACCTTCTTTGTTTTAGGGTACTTTGTAGGACATTTATTAAGTGCTGGAACTTCTGTTTCAGTGATGATCTCTGCTACTGAAGTCTCTGTTTCTGGTTCCAATGCAAGTACAGGATTTTCAGTATCATTTTGTTGTGATGTGACTTCAATATCAGGAGAAGATGGTTGGATATCTGAACACATGCTGACAGTTCTGTGTCTCCGACGCTGCTGTCCAATGTGAGTCCTACTGCGAGAAAAACTTTTTCTCTGTTTAGTTCTATTCACTTTGGCAGGGGTTGGCTTGTTAGCACTTTCTTCTTTTGCTTGTTCCTAATTCAAAACACAACACAATGGAATTTCTGATGTTATGTTTAGCGTAGGTACTGTTTGAGTTGAGAATATTAGCAGTAATCTACTTCAGAATGTAACTTTCTAAAATTTCTTTACGGATCCTGATAATAAATTGACATCATTAAAAATTTTTTTTCCTCCAAAGCAAGTTTAGTTTTATGTTTCAAGTATAAGTTTCCCCATAGGATTGGGAAAATGCTAATATCAGGCATTATTAAAAATGTACAGCTATAATGGAATAGTTGTGGAGATTTTATTTGAAGGGGAAGATATTTAACCATAGAAATGGCAGTACACATGAATACCTGAAGAACTTCAGCATCACTGACAATCTGTGCCTCTTTACTTTCTGTTTTCACTTCAGTTTTGGCTGTGCTGATCCTTTCCAAAGCTTGTTCTCTTCTCTTCTCTCTCTTTTCCAGCCTGGCAAAAGCTTGCAGAATTGCTTCCATTTTTCTTTCTTCTCTTGTCTATGAAATTTAAATTTTAAGTGACAGTGTCATTGCTCTAAAGTAAAAATTCTAATATCAAAATGTACATAACAAACTTAAAAAGCAATTGCTACAATACTATTAGCAAAACAAGTCTATTGTTGGTATCTATAGGGGAATAACAATATTTGTTCAACATCTGTTAGAATCCCAGACACCATCTCAGTAAGTCCTGTTATTACAAATATATTTCATGAAAGGGACACTGAGTGATTGAGTTAATGAAAAGGACAAAAACAACTGAAAAGCTATCCTTTACGGTACTAAAAAGGTCTTTAAAGAAATACAGAAGCCAGGCTTTTGAAAAAAATCAAAATTTGTAAGATGGTAATACATTGAAAAGGTACAATTCATATGTACATAAGGAGTCAGTATATTGCTATATGGTAATGTAAAGTCTTGGGTTCAAATCATGCCTCTTTCATTTGGTAAACATCTCTTCTACCCTAAGCAAGTCAGTTTTACCCTTTCTGACACTATAAAATGATAACAATAGACTTCACTGGATTGTTACTGAGTTCAAATAGAAAATGTCTGTGACATTTGCAAACAGTACTTGAAAAATGGTAAGCATTCTGTAAGTGTTAACTATTATTTCTACTTTAGCCCTCGTGCCCTCCATTATAATTCTTTTAAGGCATTCCTCTACCTTCTGCTCTTCCTTTCTTACACTGACACTTCAAGACAGGGACTGAGGGAACAGCAAGAGTTCTTTTGAGCATCAAAGAGAACATTAAGAGCAAGACCCAGAGCCTTGACCAGAGGGCCTGGCAAATGCTTCAGCTCTCAACCAGAAGCAGGAAGCACGTCCATCAACAGTCCAGTTCTCCAAATGAAAAGAACCAGGTCCTGAGGCTCAGATCCATTGTTCTTTCCTCCTTCATTGTCATCGATGTGGGGAAGAAAGAAAGAAAGATCAGAAACTCAAGGTCTGGCTGCCATACTCTTCTCAACATTGGAGCTTCAGTTCCAGTAACTATTAGAGATTCAGCATTAAGACACCTGCACTCTTGAACTACTGCTTACTCTTTGCTGTATTTTTTTTTCTTTTTACACTCAATAAGGGAACAAAGTAGGATGCCAAAAAACTTGACTGAGAATACTTTTAAAGTTTCTAATTTGTTACAGCAAACAGCCTACTACAAATGTGACACAAAATGCTATTCTCACCCTCTTTATTTTATAGGCAAGGAAACCAATGTTCAAAGAGTTAAGATTACTTATTCATGGATACAAATCGGCATCTTAGCTCTCCTGATCTAGGACAGATAAACAGTAAAAAGGGAGCATAGCAAAAAATGATCTTATTTGTTCACTGGACCTGGAAGTTTTAAAGCTGAATTCTTTCCTTAGACAATTTCATGTCTCTGGTCTTTTAAGTTACCTTTTATTGAATGGCTCTTTATAAAAACTCTAAATTTACAAATCTGGAGTACCACAAAAATCATTTTCACAATTGTTGCACCTGTTGCGTCTAGTTGGAGGGGAAAGGTTACTTACTGTGTTAAAACTTGGTAAAAGTATATTTTTCCAGAAGAAACAAACATGTCTTAGCAAGATTCACAAGGTAGGCACTGAAGAAAGGTATTTTCTGTATTATGATTTTGAATTTTCTAAGGTAGTTATGAATTTATGCCAAAAGAAGTTTCTTTGACATAGTCCAATACTCTGTTTTTAGATGCTGAGAGTGAGAGTCAAAAATAAAATTACATGATGTTTAAAGACCCAAACTCATGGAACTAAAAGTGAAAATCCTTTGTAAAAGTACAGTTAAATGATAATTAAAGCGAAATCCTTTCTTTAGACATGGTTCATAGCTTTTAGAACTATTAAGGCTCTTAAATAATGTGGGACTAGCCTACTGAGGAAACTGGAAGTTGGTGTGTATTGACTCAGTGAAAGGCAGACTCTCTGCAGAATTACACCACTACCCTGCCTCCTAATTTACTCTTTTCAATTAACTGCTGACGTGCTACATCACTATACCCATTCACTGTGTAGGAATAAAGCTAAAATCACTAAACACATTCCTAGTAGCTTTAACCAGCTTTATTTTAAAACACAAACATTTGTGTGAGACTCTTAGGTTTTACCCTAATGTTGGTGGGATCTCCTGTGTTGTTTTTATGACATCTCTTATTCATGGCTTTATAACAGTAAATAGAAAGTATTATCATTTCCTACAAACAGAAGAAAATCTCTGCACCTTGGTGGGGTTATATTTTGAGAATTTTTACTCCAACTGTGTACTTCAAAATATAAACACATTGGAGTAAGAATTTAACATACTTTCAACTTTTGGAATGGACAAAATTTTCTCTTTAAAAGAGTTTCTGTTGCAGAAATTTTCTCTTAAGTTTCCTCTTTGAGAAAGCCTAATATCCATATGATTCAAGGGTTACATAATAAAGAACAAGAATTAAAGTGTTATACAGTATAACAACTGAAAACAAACTTCACTGAGGAAACTCTTACAGTTCATCTCAGAAAATGTCTCTGGAAATTTGAAACAGTTAAAACCAGGCCTAAAATTTGTGAATGCCATAAAGTATCTTCAGAGGAAATACGCTGTTAGTAGGGTCTTGTGACAAGACAGGACGTGGCTTAAAAAGGCTCTGAGGCCTAGAGATCAGTGCCCTGGGCCTGTGGCATCCAGAATGCAGGGTATGAGACCTGTGGCCTGAGAGAAAGCAACCCCTTTGCAGGGTCTTCCCAGTCTTCGTTTTCAGCAAAAAGTCTCTTATCAGAGGTTTTGCAATCTCCAGTTTCAGTACCCATGGTTTGGAAACATTTAGTTACAGGAAAAAAAAAAAAACCCTAATTAAAAAAATAAATTCATTGGAGGGGGGAAGCATGAAACCTTTGAAAGAAAGGGGAAGCTATTAAGCCCATCTACCAAATCACCCTACCCTTATGGTCTTGAAATAAAAGATTCCTCTCAAAAAAACTTCCCTTACCCATTTTAAACAGCAGTAAGATTATTTTAAAGATGAGTAAGACTATTGGTTACCAATAAAAATTCCAAAGTAAGGTACATGGCTTGCGTGTTACCTCCATTTCCTCTGTCATATGACTGCTTAATGTGCCCTTGTAATTCCACTTGCCTATTCTTCTCTTAAGAGACTTTCTCCAAGGCAGTGAGTAGCCTTGCCTTTGTTCACCAGTACCTTAAATGGCTCTTAGCATATACCTAGCACTTAGATTTTTGTTACATGAATAGGAATTGGGTGTAATAGAAAGCACGCACTACTGTTATGTGAAGCTATGTGATTTGAAGCATTTAAAGGATTGGGGAATCTTAAATTTACTGCAGGGTAGCCAAAGCACAATGATCTCATTTTGTTTGAATAGAATACCTATACAAATAAATTTGTCCCCCTTTACTATCTAGTACTGTCATGTCATTAATTATAATGATGAGAAAATAAAAATCTAGCATCAATTTAATCATGCAATAAGGAGGAAACAGTAAGTTAGATAATACCATAATCCTGTCATTACATGGCTTCTGGCAGCAAATTTACCCTCATTGCATTTTCCTATTACAACTTTGCATCAATCATGTCACTTCCTAAACATATTTGCAACAGCATGGATTCTGAATAATAGTTTTTCCCAGAATGTTTGTTCAAGAATCTGTGGGGTATCAAAGGTGTCACTGACAGGGCTGGGAAAAAAGGTGTAAGGTATGGAAGTTTAGGAAAGACTGAGCAACAGAATTTTTCAGAAGTTTTGAACAATTCACACTGGAAATCTCAAAGGTTGAAGATATGGTAGTATAGTATTTACTATACTCAACTATAGCTAAAGTGTTCTCTTTTTTACAGAACCTGTAAAATTAGATTTCTGTGGACTACTTTTTGATGTGAAAGACAAAACCTGAGAAAATTATGAGTCCTGGCAAGTCTCCAGGCATTCTCTGGGCTATGAGGAAGCTTCAGTTCACATTCATGGGCCTATCTAGATTTGAATGGCTGCCACGAGTATTTAGCTCATTTACTTAGCTTCTACTTCTGTTTTATAAAAGCACTTTTCCTGTAAGAGCTGGGCCATGACAGTCAATCAAAACTACAAATGTTTTCCCTCAAGAAGTTTGGGTTCTAGTGATCAACAATTCTAAACTATCCTACCTGCTTGACAAGTCCAGTGATCTCATATCTAGTGAGTTATCTTTCAGTATACTTGTACTGTCTGTCAACTTTCTGTACTTTTAAATGTGAAGACCAACTAAGCCAACTTCCACGGACTCTAGTTTACACAATCTGACTATAACAGGACATCAAATATTACCAAGTCTGTTCCCAAGGTGTACTTAAAGGATATGGAAAATGATTTCAGAAACATAATATTGAAAGGTACTATGAAGGAGGTCCTTTTCATACCATTATAAGTAGAGGAAGAACATCTTTTTCATTTAAATCTTTTGAAGGTTTGCTACTTAAAAACTTATTTGTTTAAGGTGAGCTTCACAGTATCTAATCCTCTTCCTTGTGCTCACTTCATCTGACAAGACTACAGCCACTTAACCCTACCTCAAAAAGTAAGTGCCAAGAGGAGTCTACTTAGTAAGTACCTGGTTTTAGAGCCAGGTGAGTATACACAGCCTACTATACTTATTTCCAATTTTACAATTTAAAAAAACAAGTGCTCCAAATCCTCCAAACCCATGCCAACTCACTGTCAAAGAAGTATCTCTCTCCACCCAAGAGAGAATGCACACTAACCATTCCTTCATTTCCATAAAACGTGGCCACAAGTTTGCTGTTTTAAGCAGGCAATAACTTGTGAAGGGGATAGCGGAAAGGACAAAATAAAATGGAGGGGAAGAAGAAAATGTTAATAAAAGAAAATTCCAAAAAGACCAAAGGAGGTGGGGAAAATGGAACTAAGAATGGAAAGGCTCCTCCATCCTGGCCACATGATGATTTGAATGTTCTTCATGAAATCTTCATCACTAAACAAGTGTGATCTATGGCCGTCTCATCTGCCTATACCTCTCTCATCTTGTTAAATATAGCTATAAACCCAGCCAGATAGGATTTATCACATTCTAACTCCACACTAGTTTCCCTTGGAGAACAAATGCAAATCAGTTCTACACAATTTGTTTAAACCCTACTTTAAAAGTTCATTTCCATCATAATGGACTTAAAAATCCATGAAATGTTCTTTTATCCCCCCGCAGTTATTATATTTATATATCTTACCACTTCTTGCTGCATTATATACTTGATGGGTTTGGTTGGTTGACTGGTTGATTGGTTTTCTTTTGTTTTTGTCTGTTCCTGGATTGAACTCAGGGCCTTGAGCTTGCTACACAAGCACTCTACCACTTGAGCTATGCCCCAGGTCCTTTTGCTTTTTGTTTTTTGCTAGTTTGTTTTTCAGATAGATAGGGTCTTTGACTGCTGAGTGATGGGGGGAAGCCCAGACAAGGATCCTATCTCTGCCTCCCAAGTAGCTGGGATTACAGATGTGCACTACCACACACAGCAAATTAGTTATGTTTGGACATACCCCTGAAAGCACAGGCACTATTCTATCATTAATTCTCAATAAAAGGAATGAAACCAACAAGCAAAATACACAAACCCACTAATGCAATTTTGTTGAAACTGAGCAAAATGTTAAATTAGGTAATGTATGAAACTGTTGTTGAAGCTGTACTACGGAAGGACAGGCTGAGATACATTTGAATTCAGGGAGTGCATGGAATTTATCTGGGAGGAGGACACCACCGCCTCCCAAGCAAACCTGGTGTACGCTTGTTAGCTACTTACAACCCAAAGTGCTCTACAAGTCTGTCTTCTCACAGGAGAAATTTTAATCAGTTTGACATGTTTCTCAGGAGTAGTGTGGCTTCCATCGTAATTTTGCCTAGCTTTAGTTTTTAATTCAATTTGCCCTTATCTTTCCATGTACTGATGTTAATCTAGCCAGTATATATGGCAACAATTAGAAAAATCAAGGCTGACTCATAGATTTTCAAAACTCATTGAAATGTTTTGAAACTGGAAAAAACATACTAATGTTTTGAAAGGAAAAAACATACTGATTGCTTAGGAATCCTATGATTTGTGCTTTTGCAGTCTTCTTCTTTGATTACATCCAAAAACTATAATTTAAACATCAAAGTACATATACCAATTAGAAATAATAAGACTGCAATAACTGAGGGCTTTAGGTCAAGGAGCCAAAGAAATATTTTTTAAGTTTTATTTCGTATTCTTCAAAATAGCAAATTATAAACAGTATACTTTTTAGATTTTATTCCCCTGAATAAAATTTCCCCAATTTTGTAGCCACCTTAGTGGTAGATATTAAGATGAATATGCTAAAATGTTGTAAAAACTTTGATGTATTCCTCTATTTTAATATAGCATACCAATAAACAAAATCAGAACCAAAATGGATCCCAAGTAAGCTCAGAAAATATGTACTGTCTGAGTTTATTATCAACAAACAAAAGAATATGCAATTTTCTGGGATCTGGAAATAAGGCTCTTCTAAGTTCCGCTATCTTTTCCAGCATTCTTGAAGGATATTTTTAAAGTAGCCCTACAGTCAAAAACTTACTGCAATGCAACCTGAGTAAAATTATTAACACAGAACAACCTCCAGGATTTTTATGTCATTTTCCCCCCCAAAACTGGCTTCTCTGGTTTTTAGAGCCAGCTGTGAAAGAGCTTCCTCCTACCAAACATATGGCCCATACAAAGACCTGATACCCTAGGTTGATCTCCTCAAAGTTCCTACAAGAGTAATATAAGGCTGTACTACCAGTAGTCAAGAAAAGGTCATAGGTAATTTAGATACAACTGACTCCTGAAAAAGGTTCAAGATAATTTATTATAGGTACAGGAACCAACCTCCTCCAAATTTTCACCGGTATTTCCTTTTCTTCTATTATCACTACCCTGTAACAACAAACCAGTGTTTTTGAAATCCTGAGGCTATGAAACAGTTCTGTGTGCTTTCACAATTGTGAACAATAACTATCAGTATTACCGTCATTGAGGAGGATTACCATCATCAAGGTGATTTAAAAAAAACACCCACCTCAAGTAGATCTATAAAGACCAAATTTACAAAGATCCCATCCCTAGGAATGGAATGCAGCATGAAAACCCCTACAACAGGAAACAAGCAAAGAAAGCAAAGGGAATAGAGAAAGCTATACTAAGGCCATCCATTGGTTTGTAAAGCCATTTTCGAATCTTAGGGCACTCTCTTAATGGGCTTAAACACTATATTGGATGCTAATTACAATTGATTTTTTTTTTTTCTTTTTGCAGAGCTGGGGATACAATCCAGGGCTTTGCACAAGCAAGGCAATTGGGTAACTGCTCCACCAACTGTTTTATCAACTACACCCCTGTCCTACCATTGATTTTTGAGGAAATTTCTTATCCTAGTTTTTATACTAACAGAGTGTTTACAAATATGAAGGATATAAATCCTAAATTTATTTTAATTAAAACCTTATTTTATGACAACAATATAAAAATACAGAAACAGTAGCTGCCAAACCATGATGGGTTTTTTTGTTTTGGTTTTGCATAAGCCATTTATTTAGTGATGTTATAAGACTTAAAGTTCTGTTTTTGTTTTATATCAAATCATGAAAAGGAAGGATACATTTAACTAATGAAAGACATACTAAACAGTAATTGTGGTATTAAAATTTATTAATCTCAGCTTCAAAAATGTTATTTTTAAAATATACATTCTTACGTCTTCACCAATAAAATACAAATAATTAATGGAATTTATTTAAATGATAATGACAAAACCAATGTTCAGTATGCCCCACTTTTGCTAATTTTAAGGAAAAGTATAAATGTCTGTGTAAAGGCAGCCACAGTTAACTCTGGGAAGGGCAGGGGTCACTAAGGATAACATAAAGCAAAAACTATCTTCCCAACTTACCATCTTCCTTTTCCTTTCTGCAATCTGCTCCTCTGACTCCATTTCTACTTCATTGCTAACAGGGGTTTTTTCTTCTATATCATCAATAAAATCTGGTTCCTGAAAGATGAAAATAACTTTTTTATAGAAACTATCGGTTCATCTATAAACTAAGAACATCAATATGTTTAAAGGTCTTTTAGCCACAAGTAATTCAACATAAAAAAATTACAGGCCTATTTAAAACTGATTTCCTAATTCAAATTTTTCAAAATCATGCAACCAAATAATTTTGTTTTCAAAAGTTCTAGTCTATAAAATTGAATAGGAAGTTCTTATAAGTAAGCCTTTATTGTCAAATATGGCAGTATGGCCTTATGCTTATATCTGCACCAAATCACAAAATTTTCACCACACCTGCAAGAAGTGCTCAAGAAATGTTTGTTCAACTTAAAATTCAAGAGAAATTATTCCTAGAATATACTCCTCTTATTTAGTGAGTAAAACCCTACTTTTCACATTCTAGTGGTCCCTTCTCCTGTTTGTTTAGAAGGCCTCTAACAAATACTTTCTGGCAGGGCAAAAGTATAGGCCCAACTCTAAGTCCCTTTAAGTAGTAGCAAATTTTCTCTCAAAAATCTTACTTGGTATTGACTGGTGGCACCCTTCTAGAAATGATATGGTTACTTGTGTCCAGATATTTAGGGAAAGGAAATTTTATAACTTGAGACTTTTGATCAGCATATTCATGAACATGAATGCTATCTGGAAATCTTTATAAATTACCCAGTCTTAGGAAAATCTTGTCTTTAATTCTACAAGGATTTGTTGGCTGAGTTCCTTAATAATTTAATAAATGTTCTCCTAGCAGAACCTGTACTTACACCTGGAAATACTTCATTAAATGACAGGATGGGATTGGGGACCTACCTCAAAGTGGTAGAGTGCCTGCTTGCCCAGTTAATAAGTGTGACGCCTTGGGCTCAATCCCCAGTACCACCACCACCAAAAAAAAAAAAAAGTGTACAAAAATAACAGAGTGGATTTAAGAATTGTTGAACAGTTTTACATTAAACAAGAGGTTTCCTTTACTACAATTTCATCAGCAATCAGTGGAGTTCAATACCTGATTATTTGATACTGATAGTCTCAATGGAGAAAGCTTTCTCTGTTTTGTTTCTGGGCTCTTTATCTTGTTGGTTGATCCTTCACAGTCCAAAGTAATATTCTGATTTTGTGTATCTTTTTCTTTTGAAATATCTTTGTCTTTTTTTCCTTTTTTCCTTCTTGTCTCATAACCACTATTGATGTTTTCCATAGATTCCGAACTACGTTTTAGAACGGGGCACTCTGGATTTTCTTTGAGGCATGCACAGTCTACCTTGTATTTACTGAAATGAAAATCAGATAAATATTAAATCAATATATAAAATGAAACTGGGAAATTTCTAATCCACTTTAAGCTGCAACTCAACAAAATTATATGCAACTACTGATTATATGTAATCCTTAACTTATTACTTTGCATTTCTGATAATCGTCACAAAATGTTATTTTCTCATAAGAACAATGTTTTATATGTTTATTTTTGATCACAGATTAGGCTTTACAATAACTAGTAATATGTTATAGAAGGAAAAAAAATAATAAAACTGGGTGAAACGATACTGTAGTTTACAGAAATAAAACTAAGGCAAAAACATCATTACGTCAGTGGTCCCAGAGTGTTATAAAATACTGACCTGAAATCTGACCTAAATAAAAAAATGCTAGGTGTAACAAATACCAAGCCTTAACTAGTTTTTATTATGTGTTAAGGGAGGATTTCAATAACCAGGTATCTTTAAAAAGGGTACCTTGAAAAAATTTAATGTTTCCTGATGTCACACTGTTCCCCCCTTCAAATGGAAGCATGAAAAATAACTGTACTAGCTCTCATCTTCACAGCAATAAATACTAATTACATTTCACAGATAAGATTTAAACCTTAGCCTGAATGACTCTAGAAGTTTGCTCTTAGGATTTCTTACAGACTGTAAATAATGACAGCAACATCTTATGTTTATTAAGCAGTGCCAGGAACTATTTTAAACAGTTTACATGTGTTTGACTCACTAAATGTTCAAAACAGTCCTGTTAGGTGAATACTGTTATTATTCTCATACTTGAGATAATGAGGCACAAACAGATGATGAAATTGGTCTAAGGTTACCTAGCTAATAACCAAGCTAGGATTTGAAACAGACAGATAATAAAAGGCTTATATTCTTAACCTCTGTGAAATGTACAGTCTCCCAAAGCAGTGAGCAAAGAGCCATTGTGATAAATTTTTCTCTCTCTGGGAGAAAAAAGGGCTATTAAAAAGCCATGTGTTGTGTCATGTATCTGTCATCCCAATCACTCAAGAGGCTGAAGCAGGAGGGTCTAAAGTTCCATGCCAGCCTGCACTACATAGCAAGAACCTGCCTCAAAAAGCAAAACAAATAATAAAATATACACTGCATGCTAAACATAAAGCATATTACCAAAGAGCTTTAAAAGAAGTTACATAAATCTCACTCCAGTAATCAACTGAAGGAAATTAGATTTCACACTGAGAGAAAACAATGAATATTAAAAATATAATAATAATAACCTTGCAAGCTTGTGCAGTTAAAACATGTTATCAAAGTTTAAAAAAAAAGCACAACATGCCCAAGTCCAGGTGGGATCCACAGCACCACAAAATTAAAAAAAAACAAAAAAGCATTTTCACACAGACTAGCATCAGTTTTTTGAAGTCAACACTATAGGGTTAGACCAGTGAACTAAACTGACTGGGAATGGAACTTACCAACAAGCATCTTTAAACGTGTAAGTCACCTATCTGGAAAAAACTTGAGTCTGTATGCTCTAAAACCTCACAACAATTCCATTTGTAGGTCCCTACCATGGAGGGAACATGTACACATGCAGACATGTTCAAAACGTCAAGGGACTTTTTGTAAATAACAAGGTACATCAATAATGCAATTGACAGATGTCATCAGCCGTGAAAATAAGTGAACCAGAGCTCCACCTAATAACATAGTTTCATCACATGTAATAAAAAACTGAGAAAGGCTAAATGCATAAGACTATGGTAGGTTACAACTTACATAAGATTTAAACATACACAAAATTATAGGTATTATTTGTTAACATATACAAACACAGTAAAATATTAAATGACTCTTATCAAGTTGAAGATAGAAAGTTACAGGAGGAGGAAGGGTGATACAATCGGCCTGCCAAATACAAGAGGATGAGGGATTTCAAGGGATACTTGTTTATTTTTTTCTTTTCTCTTTGAGACAGGGTCTTGCTATGTAGCCCAGACTGTCATCCAACTCCCAAGTCTTCTGTCACCACTTCCAAAGTGCTGAGATTACAGGTACCATACCTGGCAATTTTCTTTTTTTGGTGATGGGGATGGAGCCCAGGGAATTGCACATATGAGGCAGGTGCTCTACCACTGAGCTACATCCCCTTTATTATTTCTTAATTTGGGAAATAAGTACATGGATATCCATATTATTTACACTTTTACATTAATTTTTCAAAAATTTAAGTAGAAGTTTCTATACTAAAAGTTACATATTTTCCTGTTTCAAAACAATTGTTCTCCAAGTTTCTTTAGGCTTTCCCAAAACTCTTTCATTTCACTGCAAAAAAAAAGTTTGGTGTAGTATCTTATGAGGGCCAGAAGAGAAATTATTCATTCATATTGATTAGCCAAATAAATTATATAATTAAGACAAAAAAATAATTAAAACTAAAATTGCATTCCATAAAATACAAGAAAGTGAAGAAAAAATTTCTCTTATAACAAAGTGATCTATGGATCAATTAGGATTACTAATCAAATACTATGAACACTTACAAGAGTACTTGGGTAAAATTTAAAAAATAACTAAGAAACAGTAATATAATGGATGCTGTTATCAACATGCTTCCTTTCAGGTTCTTTTAACTACTTCATGAGAAATAAAAGCTATAAAAGTAAGGACAATACCTAAATTATTATAAGAACATTAGAAGTATTTTGAAACAACAGATGATACAATTATAGACTTGAACTTACCAATTCCCATAGTCAAAATCAAAGGCAATAGTAATTTCAGTACCCTTTGGAATACTTTGGATAGAATAAATGTAAAGATGTATGGTTCCATCTTCAATTTCATGCCTCACCTGGTAAAAAAAATAAGTTTACATTTCTATAAGTTACTTTTTATCTTTGGAAATACTTGGAAAACTCTCCTTAAAAGTACTTTAGAAACACAACTTGGCAAACTGACACGGATACAAGACTTGTACCTATAAATCAGCAGTGACTATCTGGTTCTTTCAAACATATGTTGCTGCCCACTGCCAACCATCACCTACAGCATACCATGTGACATTCAATAAAGAAAAAATTACTCCATTTCATCAATTCAATGATGCATATTTCTTCACCTTTTAGCATCTCTGAAATTGGGGTCTTTGGATAGATGACAAATAGATTTTGATGAAATACAATAATGGTAGCACCAAAACTATACTTTGACCCACAATGTTTAGTATCAGTTAATATTCTGCTCTTTTTAGTGCTCAATACTACGTTTATACAGAAAAAAGTAGGATATAGATAAGGTTAGAAAACTATTATGTCACAGAGAAGACATGAACGTACTAAGTCTGGCTCAAATGCTACACTCTTAGCGGCAACATTATATAATTACAAAGTTTAAAACATTTAGTTTGGTGTGGCTGCCTAGCAAGTGAAAGACCCTGAGTTCAACCCCTAGCGCCATAAAAAAAAAAAAAAGGTTATTTTGCCATGTACAAAACAAATACTATTTTTCTGCTCCCTAAAATACAGTATTATAAAAAAAATTATAGTAGCACATATAAAATCTATTTTTTGTGTCTTCATATTTTATTCTTCTGTAAACTCCATTAGGTATATAGGACCAAAAATAAAACATTATTGGGGAACACATGGCCCAGAAGTGCTTTTAATCTTTACACTTATTTCTAGCCTAAACACATGCAGGACTACATACCAGCAAGTGTGCAAAAGCACACTTGATTTTTGCTTGACAAAAATCTTAGCATTTATTTGACCTACAAGTGGAGCTTCTGAGAGAAACAGAAGTCCAACATTCCTTGTTATAAGGAACATCACAAGTTCTTTAATGTGTAGAGTAATTTTTAAGAACTCACAGATAATATCATCTAACATCACAACAGAAAGATGCTAGGCAAAATAAAGAGTTGAAAAGTGTCTTCACCATAAGAAGGGGACTAAAGTAGAAAGAAGAAAAATGGAAGGGATGAACCAGTTCTAGATATAATACATACATATGTGGAAATGTTATAATGAAGCTGTCTGTATAGATACCTTTAACAAACAAAAATGTCTTTTTTACAAAGACAGGACAGTTAGGTAAAACAGACCCTGTCTGGGGGTTGGTACTAGTAGGAAGGGAGAGGATGGAAGGAAAGGGTGTAGTAGGGTAAATATGGTAGAAATACTATGTATTCAAGTATGAAAATGGAAAAATGAGACCTATTGAAACTTCTAAGAATGAGGAGAAGGGAGATAAAGGAGAATGACGGAGGGGGTGAATTTAAGATAGTAAGTGAACTTAACTAAGATATATTGTAAGCACTTTTGTAAATGTCACAATGCACCCCCTGTACAACAATAATAAAGAATTGAAAAGTGTCTTAAGCTACTCGACTTTTAATACTTAATGCTCAGATTGAATACTCAGTTCCCCTCTTACCCAACATTGATTTCAATAAGTTTACCTCTGCATTTGGTGTACAAGAACGTCTGATGAATCGAGCCTCATTCCCAAAAGTCCTTGCATCAACACACATTTCTAGCCCATGAAATTTAGAGTAGAATAAAACAAAAGGGTATGGTCTACAAATAAGGAAACATTGAAAGTGATCAATATTTTAATATATCAACCTCCTTTTATTCTTCAGAGGCAAATGGATAAAAGAAACTTGAAAGTTTAAGAAATTTCTAAAAAGTTCACATTAAATAGTGAAGTGAAAATTTGAATATAGGTAGTCTGATTCCAGGACTCAATTTGACTCTAGAACTCTTAACTTATGCTACTTTACTGGGATTTTTACCTGCCTCTATAACCTTACCTAAATCAAAGGCAACTAATTTAAAGTAGATAGTCTTTAGAGAGACACAAAGAGCGTGATTCATTATGTTTACGGAAGAGTAATTCTAGGCTTTTAAAGTCTGTCGTTGATGCATTTAAAACAGTTTTGTTTACTCTTTCAAATCAAATCTACTACAAAACAGCAAAATATTTATGTGTGTTTCATATTGTAACATTCAAGTTCTAAACAGGGAATGTTTATGATAATTGTAGGACATAGATCAGCAATGTCATCCCCCTAAAGATAGGGATGTTCGTCTATGCTTCTGAGAAGCAGTGGCTGTCAGAAGATCCTATCAATTCTCCATAACCCCAAACCACAGAAGGGGCCTCCAAAACCATCCAAACACCAACAAAGTGGGAGTTGAAACTGGTGGCAGTAATGCAGGAATAAATCTAAGACTATGTAATAACAGGGGTTTGACTGGTGGTCACCATGGTCTTTGTGGATTTTGACACATGTGTTACAATGAATCCTCACTGCTCCTGTGGAAAGGTTCTTGGTAATCTTAGGTAAAGACAGATCCTGACTCACAGCATATGCATCCAAGTTATATTGCTTTTGACTTACCTTTGAAGTAGATTCATTAGACTTTTCAGCATGACAGAGATGGGCAAGAAACTGAGAAACGTATCTTTGCTGTTATCATTATTAGTCACTGGTCAATGACCAGCAATCAAGTGACTACTGAAATACTACATAGAAAAAACATGCAATCACAGCATCTAGGTAAAATCTCAAAACAAATATTTAACTATAGAAATCAAACATAAGACAATAAATTACTACCTTTTAAAGAAATATCCATTTGCTTCAAATTGTTCTCTCAGCATAAACTTCCCTCTGTATTCAATGATGAGGGCATCAGGAGGCAAATCTTTGGCAGATTTCAGAATTTTTTTATTCTTTTGTATATGGCTCTACAATCAGAGTAAATAGTGATATTAAATTTGGTTGCTTTCAGCCTAAAGATATACAGTACAGGACAGTTTTATAGCATTTTGACAAATGATATATTTACCTCTACAGGAGGTTTGAATAGTAAACTGTTAGTATTCAATTCTGATTTATTCGTGTCTTTTTTGTCATTTCCACTGCCTAATCTCAGAGCTATTCTTTGAGCCTCCCTCTGAACACCTTCACTATACTGGTTATTATTTGCCTCTTCATATCGATCCATCCATGCTTTGATTTTTGTCTCCCATCCAAAATTCGAACCATCAGATGAAGGCTCAATTTCTGGAGCTGAACCCTAAAATCACAACAAAATAGGATTACTATTTGAACTGAAGTACTTAAACACACATAAAGACATAAATGGCAAGTTATATAAAAGAACTTACTGTCACTATGATAGCCAATTTAGATTATCAATAAACTTGCAGCTGGGAGAGGTGGCTCATGCCTATAATCATAGCTACTCATGAAGCAGAGAATGTGATTTGAGGCCACCCTGAGCAGAAAGTTCAAAGGACACAACTCCAACCAATGGCTGTCATCCCAACTATGTTGGGAAGCACAAAAAGGCTGGCTGGAGACCTATCTCAAAAATAACCAATGCAAAATGGGCTGGTGGAGTGGCTCAAATGGTAGATGCCTGCCTAGCAAGTACAAGGCCCTGAGTTCAACCACCAGTACTGCCATAAGTAAAAATTTAAAATATATATATATTTTAAGTACTTAAACTTTAGATCAAAGTCAGCTAATAGTTTCATGTAAAAGTTTACATGAAATTTCTGATTTCAGTGATTGCCAATCTCTTAACTAAAGCAATAAACCATGAACTGTGATGTGTTTGGTCACAGTTCTATCTAGCTAGAACAATTCTGTAATTATTACATGCTGCATATGAAGTAAATTTATTTCAGATGCATAATTTTAATACACTCTATAACTAACCTCTACTTTGTTATCTTAAACCCATATAAATCTGAGATCTATAATCAATTGTCCACGACAAATTTAACTGTAAACGTTATTCATAATTTCTATAAAATTAAACACCTTGATGAAAAAAACACTATTTCTGTACATACAAAAGGAAATTTTAATAGCATACAGATTTCATAAAGATCTTTATAGCTCCCATTAAACATATACGTATTAGGAGTTTACCATCAGTCCATCCTCCATATGACCAATGACCAATGTTATTACAAAAAGTATCAATGTGTTCTAGAATGAAGAATAAGGAGAAACTGCTCAACTACTTGATGAGGACATGCTTACTGTACCATCAGATATTTTGTGTGTATATATATTCTACATTACAAAAATGAGCATCTGATAAAGAACTGATTTCATAAGACTACGTTATACTATGGCTTTCCTTTACTTTACTAAACAAATCTACTCAGTTTTTAAATTTTTTCTGGGCCCCCAAGAAGCTCCTCTACTGATTTGCTATATCTTTAATATAGCTCATTTGTACTTGTTGAACCTTATAAAATTTACTAGAAAATTACTTATGGGAGTTGTTAATGATTTTAAGAGATATTTTCAAGACATTTTAAGAATTTTAAAACTTTTTATATCCCTAGTCACTTCTTTATGTAATAAAATAAAAATTTTCAGCTGAAGAAAAGATGTGCCTTCCTCATTCAACATGGTATTCATGTCATCTGATAAATGAGAAGAGAAGAGAAATGCTAGAGTATTAATAGTTCTAATAAGTTAATGGAAATCTTTACTCTGTCAGAAAAAATTCCATAAATTCAAGACAACATAAAGTTGGAATAAAATCTCCAACTGTTAACAAACAAAGAACATTCAATGAAACTTTGGACTTGCAGTATGCTGAATGACCCCATGAATTAATACTCTTGTGAAACAAATTAGAAAACTCTCAAAAATCATCATCCAGAGTGCTGGATAATGTTTATGTTCCAGAAATGTGACGATGAACGGTTATTATCCTTTATAATATAGTAACAAAGAAATACACTGTAATGTACTGCCCACATCCTCTTTAATATTAAATCTGACAATTTAAGAAATTTGTTATCCATTAATACCTAAGCAGAAAGCTACCACCACACCACATTGCTACCTCTTGAGCCAGCACAAAGCTGTGTTTTAGGGGCAGAAACCGAGGAGGCAAAGTCTCACGTCTGTCAGAAATACCAGCATCTAATTGATACATTTGGATCAATTCATAGTACATGTGACCAGTTTGTGTTTACATAGTAAATCTGGTGATTTCTTTGTTTTTGTTTGAGACAGGGTGTCACTGTGTAGCCCTGGGTGGTCTGGAACTCACAATCTTCAGTCTAGTAAATGCTGTACACCACCACACCCAGCTAAGATTTCTTTTTTTTTTTTTTTTTGAAGCAAAGACTCACTGTGCAGCCCAGGATGACCTCAAATTTGTGCTCCTACTACCTCAGCCTCCCTAGTGCTGGGATTATAAGTGAATGCTGGTATTATGGATGTGGTCACCATAACTACAGTACAATTGACTTGACCACCTCTAGAATTGCAATTGTGCAGAAGAGTATTCTGAATATTCAGCTGTGATTCTGCACTCATGTACACTACGCTAATATAAAGTGCTTCTGGAGATATAGAACTGCAGTAATAAATGAAATTTTAATTATTATTATTTGCAATACAGGATTTGAACCCAGGGTGTTGTGCTTGCTAGACAGGTGCTCTTACCACTTGAGCCACATCCATAGCACGTTTTTTGCTTTTCGATAGGGTCTCTTGTTTTTGATTGGGACTGGCCTCAGGCCATGGTCCTCCTATGTAGCTGGGACCACAGATGCATGTCACCATGCCTGATTTATTTATTAAAATGTGGTCTTGCTAACTTTTTTGCCTGGGTTAGCCTCAAACTAAAATCCTCTCTGTACCTCCTGAGTAGCTGGGATTACAGGAGTAAGCCACCATTCCCAGCAATTACCACAATTTTAATATTTGAAGTTGTTTTTATGCTCTCCCCTTTGATGTTTTAATAGTGCTAATAAATTACAAAAATGGTATTAATCCAACTATAATTCTAAAATCCCACTTATATTAAAGATAATAATCAATAAATTTATTTCTTCATTGTGTACACAATAAAGAGAGCACAAAGATATGGACAAGAAACCACATCATGAGCTCCTGAGTGACAGTCAACAATGATGCCTTACATTTAATGTCTTTACCTTAACTCGTGATGATTTCCTAGATCCTTCACGAAAGGCCTAAAATAAGAATGGAATACTAAGTTAGTTTTTTTAAGTACCTGGATATTTAATATTTAAGAATTAATTAGGGCTATAGGCATGGCTCTTAGAGATATATAGAGTGCCTACCTAGAAAGCACAAAGGCCCAAGATCAAATCCCTGTACCACATACACAAAATAAAATAAATACAATAAAATACAAAATAAAATCAAGAATTGGTTCATTGAGGCTTTTTACTGAAGTAAAATAACAGAACAAAAAATTTAGTAACAACAGGGCTGGTGGAATGGCTCAAGTTGTAAGAGTGCCTGCCTACCATGCTTAAAGCCCTGAATTCAAACCCCAGTGCTGCCAAAAAAAAAAGTTAAATGAATACTAAGTTATTGGCACAGAAAGAAAATTTCTTAACTAAAAAATTTAGTAACAACCAATAAAATTACAGCTAGAGAAGTACCTACTAGTATACTATCCTATTACAAATATAATTTCCAAATACTCTGAGTACTCTATTTATAATCATGACTACTATACAGTACATGGACCATAGATATCAATTATGTACAAAATTATGTACTATACAAAAAAGTGTATAGTATATGATTATGTAGGATACAAAATGCTAAATTTCAAAAAAGCCTGAAGAAAAGATTTTAAAGTTTTCAAATACTATGCAACTTATGCATGTATCCAACACCACAGGATACCCCATTACTATGTACAACTTTTGTTTTCATGTATCAAAAAATTAAAAAATATTCCAATTGCAGAAAAATATTTATGATAAAAATTGGAATGGTATTGAAATACTATAATAATCTGGTGAAGTGATGAAGTGTGTGTGAGGAAGAATAAAACATTATTTTAACTCTCTAAACAAATACAAGTAACATTTGAACCCTTAGTGGAGCATCAGTAATAAACACTGTGGTGAACAGAGCTGAGTTTGTTTATTCAATAAATATTTACTGAGACGCCACTAATCTACTGTATTCTGAAGGAGCTGAGACCTAATTCCTATCCCAAAAGTGTCAACTCTATTCAGAGACTTTATAAACACAAGCCTAGAGATAGCAGCATAGATCCAAACCTATTTAAGTTTCACACTTATGTGTAGTCAATATGTTACGAGGCAGCTTTTTTTTAAAAGAGAAAAAGAACCTTTATGTAAAACATGGGTAAAAGCTAAATGCACTTTGGAGAAAGCATATATTCAGAAAAGACTTTAGAACAAGGGAAAGAAGTATAGTTCCTGAAGTACAAAGAACTATGATAGAAGGCATGAAATAAGAAGAAATTATGCAAAATTGAAGGGAATATTAATATACCATCACTTCTACCTACTTAAAAGCAGTATGTGTAAGATTGGTTTAAAAACTATCAAGTCAGATTATAAAAGTCTTATTTAAAAAGTCAAATTTCATGATTCTGACTTAAATACTAAATTGATCTTCACTATGAAGGAAGAATCCAGAGTACGTCCAAGTGGAAAAGGGATACAAAAGAAAACTACTTATAGGAAATCAGATAACCAAATGAAGAATGAATAGGAAAAAGAATGAAGAGAAATCAAAGATGAAAAAAAATTACTGTATTTTAGCCAGATGTGGTGGCTCAAGCCTGTAATCCTACCTACTTGGAAAGTGGAGATTGGAAAGATGTCGGTTGAAAGCCAGCGCAGGCAAAATGTTCATGAGATCCCCATCTCAACCAATGGCTATGCACTGTGGTGCAAACCTGTCACCCCAGTTAGGGGGAAGCACAAAAAAGGACAACTGCGGTCCAGGTGTCCAAGGTATAAAGCGAGACTGACCCTATGTCAAAAATAACCAATGCAAAAAAGGCTGGCAAAGTAGTTCAAATGGTAAAGTGCCAGTCTAGCAAGGCAAGAGTACATACATACATGCATACATACATAATTAAATAGAACTTTTTCTGATGAAGTAGTGGGAGTTTAGACTAGATTTGTAGCAGAAAAAAATGTGTATCAAAGAGATATTTGAAAGGAAAAGTCAACAGAGATTTTGAGAATATATCTGAATGTCAGACTAACAATGGCTTGAAGATACTCCAGTTTGGGCTGGGTGGTGGTGGCTCACACCTGTAATCCTAGCTAACTCAGGAGGCAAAGATCAGTAGGATTGTGGTTCAAAGCCAACCCCAGGCAAATAGTTCATAAGCCCCTAACCTGAAAATATTCAACACAAAACAGGGCTGGCTCAAGTGGTAGAGTGCCTGCCTAACAATTTTGAGGATCTGAGTTCAAAACCCAGTACTGCCAGAAAAAAACAGAAAAATACACACACAGACACACAAAGGAATAAAGAATGGTCAAGAAAAATACAAGTTTAGTGTAGAGAGGAAACACTGGAAGAAAAGAGAAATACTATAGGTGTGTATCATTTATCTAAAATGCTTAGGACCAGAAATTTTCACTGGGTTAAAAAAAATTGTTTGGAATATTAGGTAGTTTAAAAGATAACAGACAGAGAATATTCCAAATGGTGAAGGAAACAGTATAAGCACACATGGCCAGAAAGTGTGGGCAGAACCTTAATAATGAGTTGTACAGATTGGCTAACCTTAAGCAGAAGCATAGCAGAAAGGATGTGGACCTATACATGAGGATGCTAGTCAAGCTGATTTTTCATGGGGAGGAAGAAAATGAAAAAAAGATCTATTTAAAAGTTCATGCTGCTATCTACCAAATAACCAAATATATCATGATGAATCAAAGGGAGGAAGACTTTATTTTAAAGCTTTGATTTTCCATATCTAGTTAAAATGTCACTCTATAATAGCAACACAGTCAATATGAAAAGTCTTTTTTACCTTGAATGACAATCTTCGCTGGCTACATAACCCTGTATTCTATCAGAAATTGAACAACACATTGAAGAAATAAGGGGGGAAATCCAAAAGTTCCTGGTATTTAATGAAAATGAAAACACAACCTACCAGGATCTATGAGACACAGCAAAGGGACTGCTAAGGGGATAGCTTATAGCTATTAGCCAAAAAATGAGATCTAAAATTGAGGTACCTGAAGCTCTAGAAAAACAAGAACAAGTCAAACACAAATGTAACAGATGGAAAGAGATAGTAAAAATTAGGGCAGAAACTAATGAAATGAAGACCAAAAAACCAAACAATGGATCAAACAAGCTGGTTTCATGTAAGTTGGCAAAAGTTGCCTTTCCTATGAAACTCAGCTCCATATCTGCTGTATAATCTAGTCATCAAAAAAAAAAATAAAAGAGCAAAACCTACTTTTTTACATTTTGGAAAGTTCTGTTCTTTCTCTCCACTTTTTTTCCTTCTTTTATCATTAACCTTGGGTACTCTGGAAGCAGTTAGGGTAATGGATGTTGGAGTATGCTGAAATGCAGTATATAACTCCACTGGAACCTCATCGCCACTCTCAGTTGCGCTGGTATCTCCATCTTCAATGCAAGACAAAGTCATTACACATTTAATGCTTCTATGTCAAACAATTAAGTAAAACAGCATTCTATGTTATCAAGTATGGTACTGCCATTGTTCACTTAACTTGCTTCACTCACAATAATACACATAAAGGCAAACGTCACTTCTCCCACTTCAAACTGCAAATGATCCAAAAGGCTGACAACATGCTCTGGTGGTTTGACTGTGGGACAGGCACTATCACATATTGCCCGTGGAAATGCAAAACTTCCTACAGAGGGGAATTTAGCCACAGCTAGAAAAATAATATATGCACTTACCCTTTGACCCAGCCATCCCATTCCCGGGAATCTAGCCAAAGATAAAATAGCACAAGTACAAAAAAAACTTACGCAGGAGGATTTCATTGAAGGTACTATTCATAATACCAGAAGTAAAACAAAATACTGTTTTACAAACAATATGTCCCTCAAAGAGGAATGGTTGAATAAACTATGATTATTCAAAAGCAGCTATATTGGTTTCAACCCAAACATGTTTTAAAGCCAAAATGAAAACTGTGGCATATGTTATATAGAATTTAGAAAATGCTGTCTCAAAAATGAAAAAAAAAATACTATTTCACATGATAAACTAATGGATCATCATCTTTCTGAAAGATTTATTTCTTTAAGCCAGCACACTACTAATGTGTAGGAAAATTGTGGGGAATTTCCAGTTATTTATTTTGTTTTCCTCTGGTGTCCGTGTTTGCTGAAATGAAACACTGTGTAGTCAAAATCTATCAGTAATATTTATGTCTAACTAAACAGACACACTTAGCTCCTGGACCTCACTAACATTCATTTGCCATACGTAGTCCTTTTTACCCACCTGACATATTTTCCCTTTTCCGGCGTTGTAGTAGAACCGCCCTCTCTTTATCCAAGCTCCTACATTTAAAATAGTAACGTTACTTTTCAAACTTTCAGAATCTTAGATATGAAGATGTTTTAAATCAAATACAGTTTATAATTTCTTTAACGTTCAAAGCGAAAAACCAACCATATAAAATACATACAACATCTCTTGCCTTGCAGTTTAGATCTGATCTAGTAATATAGTAGATCCAGTTAAGTGATTCTATTTTATTCTGTTACGAAAATAATCTTATACCTAAGAAATGAGCACTTTTTTTCCTAAACTGAAGCCAAAAGTCTGAAAACAACATGTTAAGGATGCAATTAAAATAAAAAATAATTTCTTAAGAAAATGTATGTTAGTGAATTAGTGTCTATTGTACATTACTGTATCTGAATTATTTTGACTCTATTTTTTGTTGTTAGTTTTGAGACAGGGACTTGTTCTGTAGCCAGGGCTGGCCTTGAACACAAGCTCCTTCTTGCCTCAGCTCCCTGAGTGGTGGGATTACACACTTATGTCAACACACTCAGCTTATTTCTACTCTTAAAATAATAAACTCATTAATAAAAAAAACTTTAGTATAACTATAATGAGATTACCACCTCTCACCTAATTAAACTGGCAAAAGTTCAAATCTGTCAAGTACTATATTGTGAGGCATGTGAAAAATAACCATGCTTATTCAATTCAGTGGGGATTCAAAATTGTGGGTAGTTCTTACACAGGGAAATTTGGTGATATCTGGCAAAATTTTACATAAACATTTACTTTTAGGGAACAATCCCACTTCCATTCAGATAACAAAAGATTAGAAAGAAATGCCCACTCAAAAAAGAATGGTTGAGAAATTAATTCATAGCACATGAAAAGGAGTACCTTAAAGCTACAGAAAGAAATGAGTCTCTGTCCTATTGAAGGGATCCTCAGCACACATTTCAGAAGATGGAAATGTGGCCAGGAGTCTACCTAAGTAAAGAGCGGAATAGGTGCCTATCTGCATAGAAGAAAACAAGCAATGAGAGGAAAACTCAGTTTTTAAAAAGTGTTACTTTTAGTGCTGAGTATATGGCTTGGGTGGTAGAACCCCTGCCAAGCAAGTACAAAGCCCTGAGGTCAAACCCCAGCACCACAAAAAAAGTGTTCCTTCTGGAGTAGGTGGAAAAGAACAGAAGTTATACTTACTTGGATAGACCTTGTTCTATATATTTGACTTCATAATACGTAAGTATTTCTTACATAATTTAAAGTATATAATTATGAAAGTATATAAAAACAATTTTTCTTTTGGCGGTACTGGGGAATAACTCAGGGCCTTACCAAACCCTCTGCCACTTAAGCCACATCCTCAGTCCTTTTGCTTTTAGTCTGTTTTCCAGATAGCGTTTCATACTAACTTGGAGCTGGAGATATGGCTCAAGAGCTAGAGCGCCTGCCCAGCAAGTGTAAAGTCCTGAGTTCAAATCCCAGTATTGAAAAAATAAAACACTTCATGCTAAGTTTGCCCAGGCAGCCCTTGAACCTCTGTCCTCCTACCTCTGTCTCTCAAGTGCCTGGTTATTAAAGGTATACATCACCATGCCCAGCTCCAGCAATTCTTTAAATTAAAAACGTAACTCATTACTCATGGATTTCTGGTAAGAATATAAAATGGTATAGCCATGTTGGGAAAGTTTGACAATTTCTTACAAAACTAAACATACATACTGTACATGTCTAAGGAATCATCACAAGAAAAAAACCCTTATACTATTATGTATGCTAATACAAGGGCTAGGGGTTATGGCTAGGGGCTAGGCAAAGCACCTGCCTAGCAAGCATGAGGCCCTGAGTTCAAAACCCCAGTACCACCAAACAAACAAAAACTACATTTGGAGGAAAAAGAAAACTTAGATCCACATAAAAACATTTACATGAAGCCAGGAGCCAGTGGCTCACACCTGTAATTCTAGCTACTCAGGAGGCAGAGAACAGGAGGATCATGGTTTGAAGCCAGTCCAGGCAAAAAGTTCACAAGACCCTATCTTGAAAAAACCCAACACAAAAAAGGGCTGGAAGAGTATCTCAAGGTGTAGGCCCTGAGTTCAAACCCCAATGCCACACACACACAAAAAAGCACGTATATGAATGTTCATAGAAACTTTATTTGTAATAACCAAAAAAGGGGAAACAAACCCAAATATCCTTCCGTGGGTGAGTGGTTCAAAAAACCATGACACATATCATATACACCATGGAATATTACTCAGCCATGAAAGAAAGAATGAAACAGTGAAGTGATACATCCAACAAATTGGAATTATGCTGTTAAATATCAGGGATGGGAGAAGTAAGAGGGTGGCTATAAAAGGCAGCACAAAGGATCCCTTCATTGATGGAAATGTCCTATACTTTGACTACTTCATTGTATCAATGTGAAAATCCTAATATTGTATTACCAGTTACACAAGGAAATCTAGGTCTCTGCGTTATTTTGCAACTGTATGTGAATCTATATAACTAACTCAAAAAGTTTAACTTAGAAAAATATAACAAAACTATTAATGTTAACAACACACAGTGCGATTCTTTCCAGGACTCCAAACATAAGGAACTGACTTGACCCCCATTGTGAACTATACCATAAAGGCAGAGGTTGCAAAGTGTTCTGCGAAACCACCATCGCCAATGTTGATGCTGCACTCTTCTTAAAAGATTAACAGCTCAGTAATGCTGTGACACTCTACCATGTTAATTCCTGTCTTTCTGAGAACTTGGGTAAAAGGAGATGTATATTCAAAATAAAAAAAGTAGATGCAGAGTAAACATATTCCTAAATGTGAACTGGAACTGTGAAGTATAAACTCATGTATTTTATCTTAAAAGTAAACAAATTGGCAAAACACAATTGTTGACAATTATAAAAACATGAGTTCATTAGACAGTTTTACTTATTATTTTTTTTTTTTGTGGAACTGGGATTTGAACTCAGGGCTTCAGACTTTCTAGGCAGATATTCAACCACATGAACCATACCTCCACCCTTTTTGCCCTGGATATTTTGGAGACAGTGTCTAGCTTTTTGCCCAGGCCAGTCTGGACCTCGATCCTCCTGATGGTTCCTGCAACAGCTGGGAGACAGGAGCACACCAGCATGTTCAACTTTTTCTGTTGAGATGGGATCTTACAAACTTTTTTGCCTGAGCTAACCTGGAACCAAAATCCTCCTGGCCCCAGCCTCCCATGTAGCTGGGGTGACAGGTGTATGCTACTGCACCCAGCTATTGGATGAGATAGGTCGTGCAAACTTTTTGCACAAGCTGGCCTCGAACTGTGATCCTCCCATTTGCAGCCTCCTAAATCACTAGGATTACAGGCATGAGCCACTGATACCCAGCTGTTTTGCTTTTACATAGGTTTAAAATGTCCATAATGGAAACTTTTTTTTAAAAAATGGGGGCAGAAAAAAAACCCATTCTACAAATAGGAAGAATAATAGACCTACCAAAATCTGTATTTAACTAATAGAGAATTCTAGTAACCCTTTAATATAGTGCATTTAAATCCATGACATACTATCAGATGAAAAATTAAATTTCCTATAAAGTAAACCATACTACATTGTCAAAGGAAAATTTTCAGAGATGGTAGGATACGAAAATAGAAGTAACCAAAATTGAAAATGTAAATCTTAACAATGATAATCTACATTGATTCATTAAGTGTTTCATCCAGAATTCATAATAAGTTTTATTAATTTTCCAGTAAAATCACTAACAATCTTGTCAGGTATGTGGAACTTACCTAGGCTGACAGCGTTCACATAGATACGTATCAGGAATATGCTGCCTGTCAATCCCCATGCAGTCAATATGTTGCCAAACACTTAAGAAAGAAAAACAAACAGCAGAACATATAAAACATTAAAACTACCCTTAAATTAAGAGTTAATATTCCATTTAATTAATAAGCACCTACTTTGAGCTTAGCATTCTTAAAGGTACTATGACATATGTCTTCAGGATACAAAACAGGAAGGCAAATAAAGGATACATAAAACAAATTTCTGATCAAACACAATTGTATTGTATATTGTATAGACTACGAATACTATATTAGAAACTGGAAGATGTCCACACTACTTCGAGTTCATGGGAAAAGCACCCTGGAGAATAACAGACATGAAAAGAATCTCATTTTGGGAAACAGGAAACAAAAAAAGTTATCATTGTAGGCTTTATCAATTAACAGATATGAGAAGGTGGCCAGAAAGTGATCGATACATATGAAAAGGACTATTCATTTTGTGAAATCAGGGGAAGCAGTAAAACTGGATTGTTTCCTCCATCAACACTGAACAACTTTGGTGGCATACCGTATTAATTGAAAACAGCTAAGTAAAAGAAGGGAAAGACCAACTAAGTGGATTTCAGACATGAGTTAAGAAAGGTAAGAACTAGAATAATGGCAAAGAAAATTTCTGTACCATGGGTACAGAAATTAAACTGCATTACTTTTAATGGAATACATAGACCAAAGGTTGAGGCAAGCTTCTCAATTTGTTATTGTATTTTATTGCAAAAACTTCAATTGTCTAAGGTTGATACATATATAAGCCTGTTTCCAAATATAGTCTTAGCTATTTCTTACATAACAGTTAGCCACTTCTTATATAAACACACTGAACTAACTGCTATTGTATTGTTTTTACTTCTCTACTGAATGTTGGGACAGGGACTCATCAAAGGTACAGGTGTGAAACAGAATACAGATGTGGGGGAACAAAGCAGGACCAATGCTAAGGAGCATTAGGATGACGGGTAATGTTAAATTTAAGGGGTAATAATACCATGCCGATAACAGAAGAAAACAAATGATCAGAGCTGAAGTGGTCAGATTTGAAAGAGATGAATATAGGGTAGTAGATCACTGAAAAAATATAAAGAGGCAATGTAAAGAAGAAAAAAAGATTAAGCCTTGCAGCACATTAGAGAGAGAAAGAGAGAGAGAGAAATATATCACAAGAATAGTCACTGAGAAGCAAATACCTTGAATAATCCAAAAACTGTGAAGTGGTCTTTTAAGAATGTGTAGGTGGACATAAAAAATTCTAAGTACAATTTTATGATTCTCTAACAGAGAAAACTGTACATTATATATATGTCCTTACAACTGGATCGAAACATTACATAAATTATGCATCAAAATAAAAATATTGCTAAATGGTATACACTTTATTACACTAGAGAAGATTGATCAGGAAAAAGCTCTTTTTTATGATTAGCTAAAACAAGAATTGACAGTTTCTGATAAGGAAAATAATAGGCTTTTTAAATTTACTCCTGAACAAATTTACTGAGATCATTACTCATGATAATGGTATGTGTCATAGGAAAGGAGAATTTAAATTTTAAAAGGTACCACAGTATGTTTTTATTATTAAAATAAACTCAAAGTATTCACAATACAACTTTCCATAAACAAAATCATATTTCACATTCTACATTGATTTCCCTTGTTTTGGCAAAAGTAAATGAACTTTTTGAAATACAAACCTAACAGCATGTTTATATCAATAATATTCAACTCCTAATCATTTGATCTAATACATGGAAACACTAATACAAATAAAGCAAAGTAATTTCTATTTGGCTCTAAAATACATTTTCATACTCACATTTAAATATGGATATAAACCACACTACTTCAGATCAAATAATGAATAATGAATGCCATATGGACCAGATCCAGGAAATTCTGTGAAGCTAACAAACTTTCTTGTTCTCTATAACATGCTACTTAAATACTCTGTTCTCTACCCTATACAGGGGATACACTCAGTAACTTTAAGGCTGAAATCCTATTGTTCCCTCTCCATTCTCCCAAACCCTTCCCACAAAAAAAAGAAAAGACAAAAAAGAAAGAAACAAAACCCCACTTTCTGTCCCAATCACACCTTCTCTAGGGGAGGAGGCCTTTCTTGGTGTTGAACCAGGGTTGGGGGAGGGGAGACTGTGGTTCTGGTTCAAGAAGACTCCAGAGTGCTGCAAGGTTCAAGTCAAAAGGAGGTGAAAGAGTCAGGTCAAACAATCATCAATCAAAATGTTTCATTCCCCCAACTTGGAAAATCACAGTTGATTACACTGCACAAATAATTACAAAAGAAATAAAAGTAGCCGATTCTCTCATTTCTATCTTGTCACTACAATTTGTGTACTTGTATTACTACTAAGTGAAAAGAAAGATGATCCTATATAAATATAATTCAGAACTGACTACTAATCAGTTCATAACAGGGATTTCCAATAACCTCTTAGCTCTTTTCAATAGGGACTTTTTCTAGAAACAAAACACAATGCAACAATAGTAGCAGAAGTCCCACTTTAAAAAGGAATTATTCCTTCAAAAGTGACTTTAGTTATCTTTTTCAAATTAACAACCAAAGCATTAAAAAAAATAAAGTAATGGTGTGAAATATTTTACCTGCATTTGTCACAACAGATCATGTATCCATCATCATGTGTAAAACCACATATGCACCTGGTCACATCAGTACCGTAACTTCCATCCTCAGATGTGCTGATTGTAGTAGCACTGGAAGTTTCATCAAAATTAGGAGTGGTAAATATGCCTACTTCATTTTTGCTAATCAGAACTGATGGAGGAGGGGAAGCTGGAGGTGTTGGAGGAGGACGAGCACCATAATTATGGTCCTAGACAATGGAACGCACAAACAACACAATATTATTTTCAAAGAGAAGAGCTAAGCAACTGCAATAAAATTCAGCTTTGAATCAGAATGCCCAAAACCTGTGGAACTGTTCCATTTCTTTCTTAAAATTTTTAAAATAATGACCTGATGAAGCCTGATATTAAATCACAGGGGTAAGTGAATGTAACTACCTACAAAGTGAAGGTCATCTTTACATCAATGACATTTCCCCTCTCCCCCAAATCAGAAACTGTCTTACAGTCCTTTGGTCACATTGCTTTACCTTCACAATGAAACAGGTGCATGATGTGCAAATAAAGGCTAATAATAACAACAATAATAAATCTCTGAAGAATAACAAAAACATTAGCAGAAGACACATTATCACTGTAGACTATATAATAGGGGATTTAAAATTTTTGGTTATTTTTATTCTGGTCCAAGTAATAGAAGTTCTCATAATTATATCTTTCTAATGTCATGAATGTGTCCAGTACTGTAGCTATTTAAATCTAAATTCTGCTTCTTACTAACAATAGTGGATAAATTAACTTAGACATCAGCTTTCATCTCAGCTATGAAACAGGGATGAAAACTATCTTCAGGAAAGGTGGATAAAGAAGGATGATGGAGAGGGTGAATTTAACTAAGATATGGTATAAGCACTTTTGTAAATGTCACACTGTACCCCCACTACAACAGTAATTTTTTTAAAAAACTAAGATATAGTATAAGCACTTTTGTAAATGTCACAATGCACCCCCAGTACAATAATATAACAAAAACTTAAAGAAAACTATTTTATGAGGTCGTTTTTGAGGATTAAGTGAGATACTGTATGCACACTTAACATAAAATCTGGCACATAATAAGTGCTCAATAAATAACTACAAAATTTACTATATACATTACTATATAATTTAGAATTAACAGTAGACAGGCAATATAACTTTACCATAATCTTTTTATTGAAAGAGTAAAAAAATAACATTATCATAATCAACAATAATAAAAGCAATAAAACCTCTAAGGAGTTCCTCTTTTAGAATCTTAATCCCTTAATAATATGGTTAAGTTGAACTACAAATTATATGCCTCGTTGTTTAGATAGTATGAAACAAGTATGCCTCTAAAACTTTCAGTTTTAAGCACAATACCACACACATTTTCTTTCAACCTCTAACTTTTAAGAAATTTCTGCAGAGAAACGTTTGACACTTACCGCATAGGGCAAACCAATGTAACTGTGTGAATGATGGGAGCTGCTGGTATATAACTGGTGGGGATAACTGTTGGATTTCTCAACTACCACAGGGCTAGCTTCTACGGATTCTGGTCTGGGGGGAAAAGAATTACAGCAATGAGAATTCCATCTTTTTCTTTAATCAATTAAAAATTTAAGTACTTACACTAAATAAAATATTGACAATAAAAATATAATGTCTATTTATAGCAGGTACCCAGCTTATGGGTAAGATACATCCCATCTAGATTCTGTGTCTTAACAAAACTTTTGCTGAGTAAGTAAAATGAAATGCTGTGTTCCATGTTCAAATGTAATTTTCTAATCATTAAAAAAAATGGCTAGAGACCAAACTTTATGTACTGCACCCCGTGGCACTGAGAAAGCTAAACACAGGGGGCAGGACTAAGGACAAACTGAATCTGTACAGACCTTGACTCAAAACTCTTTATGTGTTGTGTGTACTGGGATAGAAGAGAACCTTGGGAATCGACCTAAGGGAACAGGGAACCGCCTACAGTAATCTCAGAGTTGTGAGCTCAGAACAATTACATGGTGAATGACCAATTACTGATATAAATGAGAATAACACCTCTCCAACTCTTGTTGACTTTTAAGCTCTCTGCCCTAGTGTTTTACATCCATCACCTTCCCCATTTCTTTACTCATACCTAACCTCCTAAGCTCTACTTTGTCTGATTCCTATTGATTGTTGTGATGGGTCTTAGAAGCCTCAGCAGTGTCTATAGTGGAACAGGGGTAAAAATGTGCTAAGCCCTTCATTTCTAGATCTACAAAAGTTGTTTTTTATAGCTTCGTGTATTTCACTTCTGCAGAAGCATTTGAAAAGCACATACAGTAGCAAGTCTAACTCACAACTGACACTCAGCACTGGCGCAGTGAGAAAATGCATAATTTATGTATCTAAATAAACCACTCATACCACATTCTTCTGACACTTTACAGTCAGTGACTTAAGGAAAACTAATCTGTTTAGCCTTTATTTTCACATCTGTGAGATAAGGTAATATTTAGATCACAATATAAAACTAAATGCAACAAAACATAAAAAACTGAACACAGAGGTAATTCAACAAATTATAGTTCATTCCTTCTTCACTAAGTTGAGCAACATGAAATTACTACTGATATTAGACCAATTTTGATCTATAAAATGGCACTCATACAGTTTAACTTAATATTACAAATGTCAGCTGTGCAGGAAAGAATTACCATGGAGTAGAAAGGCCTACTTACAAGGTGGGCTCTTGGTTGGCATTGGGAATTTGGCTAGCAACCATTTCCTTTACCCTAGGAAACATTCCTGAAATCATAAGGGTGAATTACTGTGCCTCAATTGCTGAACAATGTGGTTTATGTTGAATATTTGCTTTCCTTTAGGCAGTCTGGGATTTTGGTACCTGCAAGGAGATGGTACTCACATGTCAGCCTCTCGTAAAGACCTTGACCATAGAGTCTCTAAAGAACTTCTCTAATAGACAACATTTCGCATGTGTTGCCACAACTCGTTGCTAAAGGAATTGTGTATCATATATTACTCAATGAGGAGAGTAGTTTCCTCTAGATTTCACACCACGTACTCTTCTCTTTTGCTGATTTTGCTTTGTATTTTTTGCGTAAATAAACCTTATATATAAGTTATGTTAACTACATGCTGAGTCCTCTGAGCTCTTTTTCATCAAGCCTGGGGGTGGTCTTGGGGACAACTGACACATCAATTCATCAACATGGCAACATAGATCAGTATCTTTAAGAAAATTTTATATTCCATTTGACCTAGTAATTCCAGATCACATTTATTCTAAGTAAATCATTTAAGATCTGTAGAAACATTATGGCAAAATATTGTTTGAACTGCAATTTTTGGCTCAAATGACTTTTATATTCAATAAGGGGTTGGATGTATCCCTAGAATACCAAGAAACCATCCAAGTAAGAGTCTAAATGTTAGTAAGAAAAATCTTTTCAAAATTTATCATTAAAGGCAAACTACATGATGATACAGTATGGATCCATTTCTCTTATTACTCTTTGTACTCATAGATACAGAGAAAAAAAAAAATCTAGTAAGTGCATGCCAAAATGTCGTTATCTCTGGATAGTTGGATTGTGGATGTTTATTTCCTTTACGTAATAAATTTTGGGTAGTGCCTATTATGACTATGTTCTACTCATTTTTTTAAAAAGGTTAAGCATACATATATGCTTTACATAAACTTTTGAAAGATGTGCCACACATTGACATAAGACAGGTAAGGAAAAATTTATATTTATTTCCTACTTAATAGGGAAAAAAACCCAACTCTAAAGGACTTCCAGCCCTCAAGTCCATTCAACCAGGAAAGCATAACCTTTTTTATTCAAAAGGTGGTGCTGCCTATAAAGTATTCTTTTCTATAATATATTCAACTTACCTCTCTTTAGAAAAAAGCAAACATGTTTTTAAGTCAATAGATACATCTAAAGTATAATTTCTTCTCACAAATTGATTCAATCTAAGTGGCCCATATAATATGTCCACTATTTTCATTCTTCACCTCTTTGTCTTTACTATGAAATAGTCCTACCTTTCCTGAAGACGGTCACCCTGTGAAATATTATATACCAAGAAAAGTGACTTAGTAGTTTGTATCCCCTAACTTTGTCATGTGTATATGGCAGATGAATACTTCATTACTATCAATTTCAGCTGATTTTGGTGCTGGTGATAAAACTCAGGGCCTGAGCTATACCTCCAGACCATTGTCAGTATTTAACAGTGCTAGCAGTCCAACTCTACCCCAGAATGCAACCAGTGCAGCTGAACCTTACTATATATAGTATGCGTGTATATACATATATATAATTACATGTCAATATATAATTATATACTTGTATATAATTATGGTCACTAGGGTTACAGAGATAAATTAAGAGATAGTTCTTGCTTTGAAGAAGCTCACAGTCTGGTGATGTATGGAAGACACATAAAGTCATATTTTACTGTGAGAAAGAGAGCACAGAAACCAGATTTTGAGAGGGAAGGGCATACTGGCTCATTGAACTGGTGTGAGCAAAGGTAGAGACCTGAAAAAAGGTTTATTAGGGAAATAAACATTTCAAAATAGCTTGAATGTAAAACAAATCTATGTAAATCTATACACACTTAAAAGGCAGAGGTTGAAAAGATTAATTGAATGTATATAAAAAGCATACATACCATTTAAGAGTTTAGATTTAGACTTAAAAGCATTAGGAAATCAGTAATGGCTAAGAAGAGAAATTAAATGACATTTGTTTTTAGAAACTCATGAGCTGTACATGTTGTAGCCATTAGGTGAAAACCGGAATACAAGGAGTTTTTGGTGTGAATTCTTTAGAAGGCAAGAAGGGAAAGAACAAAAGATGGATGTAGTACTAATTTACTGAGTTTGAACTACTCAGGAGACACCTGAGTTAAAGAGGTCCAGTAATGCAGAGGTCTATATGGGGAGAGCTCATGAGACAGGATTAGATGATAAAAAGCATGTGAAAACAACAGAAGTGGATGAATTCTCCTGGAGGGTTTACAAACTAAAGGTAGGTATAGGTCCGAGAAATCACAAATACATAAGGTAACAGGAGAAAAATCATTTAAAAGGAGTTTCAGGGCTGGAGGCATGGCTCAAGTGGTACAGAGCTTGCCTAGCAAATATGAAGCCTTGAACTCAAACCTCGTACCAACAAAATAAAAATAAAAATTTTACAAGTAGTTTAAGGAATAAACAGAAAACCAAACTAAGAGTCTGGGAGTTTCTTAAAATCCTATTCATTGAATTACTTTATAAGACCTATTTATTCCACTTCCAGGTAAATAGATGGGTCTCCGACTTACGGTGAATTTTCAACACTATGATCATAGGAAGGCAATATACATTCAGTAGAAACCATACTTGGAATTTGGCAGTTTGATATTTTCCCAGGCAGGTATGAAAGTGTCTTGTAAAACTGGGTGGAGGCAGCAGCAAGCCACCATTCTTAATCAGCCTTAAAATTACAAAGGTAAGACATGATGTAGACTAGGTATGTTAAATGTGTTTCCAACTTGCGGTACTTTCAACTGCAGATGGGTTTATTGAGTTGGTTTATTTACCCAACTGTAAGATGAGGAACATTTGTATGCCCCAAAAAGTTAAGCAAGGAGTTAAACAGACACTTGCAAACCAATGTTTAAGCAGCATTATTCACAAAAGCCAAAAGATGGAAATGACCCAACTGTCCATTAACAAATGAAGGGATAAGCTGGTTGAGTAGCTCAAGTGGTAGAGCTTCTGCATTGCACATATGAAGTCCTGAGTTCAAACCCCAAGACCACTAAAAGCGAAAAAAAAAAAGAAAGAAGGGATAAGCAAAATATAGTACACCTATACAATGGAGTATTAGTCAGTTGTTAAAAAGAATAAAGTTCTGACACATGGTTACATATGTGAAGATTTTGCTGATGAAATAAACCAGGCACAAGAGAATAAACATTTCATGATTCCACTGATAAGTAATAGGCAAATAGAAACAGAAACTAGAATAGAGATGATAGGGGGTAGGAATAGGGGAAAGAAGACATTATTTAATGAATGAAGTCTCTGAAGTGATGAAAGGGTTTAGAAATAGTGATGATGGTGGCACAGCACTGTAAAGATGCCTAATGACACTGAGTTGTACACTTAAAGATGGATAACATGGTAAATATTATTTTACCACAATGTTTCAAAAAAATATTATTTTCATTAGAGCCAAAATTAGAACCAATAGTATCAAATCCTGCTGCAAGCCCAGGCAATGTAGGGCTTGGGGTGCCACTTAGTGATAAAGCATGTGCTTAGCATGTGTGACAACCTGGATTCCAGGCCCAGCACTACCCTCATTTAAAAAAAAAAAAAGCAGGCAATGTAAGGCCTGAAAACTATGCATTATCTTTCATGTGACAGTGGCCAGTGACACGGTCAAAGTAAAAGCCAGCTTGAATGTGACAAGTAGGAAAATTAGTAAAAGGAAGAATAAAGCAAAGATTCAAGCATCTGAATGGACATATGGTTTAGACAGTATCCAAAGAATTACAGGAATGAGATGAAAAAATAAAACTGCCAGAGGGTCAAGACTTAACCCAAAAGAGCACATAGCCCCTACCCTCTGATCACTGAGGTGGTGTGGGGAAGGCTGTTGCTAAGCCTGGGTAAGTTAGGCAGATGGAACAAGCCCTGTGGTAGGGCTGGTTTGTTTCTGGCCCTAAGGGAGTTTCAGGGTGTGGTTTCCTTTCTCTCAGAGGTACTGGACACTGAAGGTAGCATTGTCTTGGCCTAAAACTAGTGGTAGTGGACTCCCCACACAATGCTCTCACAAGACTGCTGATTAAGGAGTCAGTCCTGCTTGGTGTGGGATGTGGTACAGAGGGACAGGAAATGCTCAGATAAAGAGACTACAAAATAATGTTCAGGTACTGTCTTAAGAGCTATTTTAAAGATACAAGATCATGGACTCCAACCTCTGGTTTTTCAGTCAAGGAGATGACCAGACTTAAGTCCTAACTCATTGTATCCTTCAGACATACCATATACTACTCTGGGTCTCAATCTCAACATTTGTAAAATATCTCCACATTTGAAATGAATTCTAAGTGAGATGGCATTTTAACAGAGAAGACAAGACTAGGCACAGATCTCTTGAATTGGTCTAGCACTCTACCCATCAAATTGTGCTGTCACTATCACTCCTGTGAAATTTATAGGAGTGTTATTTATTCCTGTAGATTAGTGACTCAATTAATAGCCTGTTAAAAAATAGAACTAGGTCTTGCTTTACACCAGAGTTACACAAAGCCTAAATTCTAATAATCTTGAATTTATACCATTAAAATTCTCATTGTTTCACTAATATTACACTTTTTTGGTCACTGAAAGTAGATGTATTTTTAATGTAATAGTTTCATTCTTTAAAATATACTGTTTCAAAATGTGTTGTAGTTCTAAGTTAATGTCAAAAGCTTTGAACCAACTACCATTTTGTTTGCAGTAATCTACCTGATGTCACATTTTTACAAATTTAAAATCTTATTTATATTAAAATGTCCTCCCTTATCCTTTAAAAAGCTATCATAAATTATCATCTAAGCCACATTACATATACTTAGTGCAGATATTTCAGTAACTTGGGTGAACTGAAGATCTAAAAAGACAGAAATGTTAATTATTAATTGAAGAGCATTTAGACAAAAGGAACACTTTTGGAAAATGGCTAAATAACCTCCAAATACTCAGAAACTAGACTTTTATGACTTTCTTCTTGTCGAAAATTTGATTTCATCCCTATGAATCCTCAAAATATAGATAAGTGCTGATGAGAAGCTCATAGCAATATTTAAGGTAAAAATTCTAATTCTTTCAATATGATAACTTTCAATAGCATATACTATATCAGTAACGGCACATAGAAAGATTGTATTAATTGTTGTACTAATAGAAACAAAAGACCTCCATGAGTTTTCAATATGCTTCTTTTGATCAAAACTTGTCATTTCTTTCATGCCTGTCAAAACATACTACCTTTTAAAGATATAGTAAAATTAAACATATCATCATACTATACAAATAATTTTTTGTTTTGTTTTGTTGTTGAAACTTTTTTTTTAATGGAGAGTAGGTTTGGTATTATACTGTCCTGAATCTATTGCATGTAGCATTTTACCTCATTTAACACATCTATTAACAAAACCTGGCTGTTCTGACCTATGTGACAGCATGGATCTAGAGCCATGCAATCCTTAGTTCAAACCTAACTCTATTTTTCATTGATTATGTGGTAACAGATAAATTTGTTAATCTCTTTGATTGGCATTTTTTTTTTTGTAATATGGGAGTAATGCCTGCCTGACATTTGCTGGGATGGCTAAAAAATATTATATGCTCAAAGTAGGAGAGCTTCTTAATTAACACTGCATCACAGATGTATGGATACAGAGAACTGTGTGTGCAGTACAATGAGTGAAAAAAAAATCTCTCATGTATGAAACAGATGAAAAAACTCATCATTCTAAGTACAGTTCTAAACAATGCTATGAAGGTATATAAAATGGGCTTTTGAATATTAAAGCAAAATCACATTTAAATGAAAGCACTTCCAAATTATGATAAGCAAATCAACATTCGCTTTGGGAGCATCAGAAAATGTTAGTTTCTTGATAGTCAATTAGGTGTAAAGACATCACAAACCAGAAAAGTTAAGCATTAGTGGAAAGTGGACAAACTGTACTAAAAACATTTCAGTATTTACAAAATATTTTAGAATCTTCAATTACACAAATTCAATGAAAACAAATTAATGAATCTGTCAGCAGGTGGCTCTAGTGACACTGAAATAGTATCACATACTAAAGCAATGCATGCAAGGTAAAAACTGAGACTCAGAAATTTGGGGTTAAAAAAATTCATATAACAATCTTTTGCAAATGACGATACTAAAGTCTAGAATAATTAAGCAGGTTAAAGGCTTACTAATATGTTACTGGCAAAACAAAACTGAAAGAACTTCATTGTCTTTATCTAGTACTCTTAGTCAACAAGCAATAATTTAGCATTTACTGTGCTGCTGGGAGTCCTGCTCCGAAATAATTCACTTCTAAAAACATGCCTTAGTTTTTAATCTGTTCCCTTCACTCAAAAATATGCATAATATAACAGTTTATTACAAGAATTTCCAATGATACTGAAGAAATTTGATGGTAGTAATAATTAGAAGAAATATAGTGTTAATGATGTTTCCAGTTTCTAAAAAGGAAAAATCAAAATTACACATGTGACTCACATGCTTCTATTTGCCAGGGCTGTGCTAAAGTTCTAACTTCCCAGCTGATTAGAATTTCCTTCACAATAGGGATAAAAGTTCATGCTTCACCTCTGTAATCTAGCCTCTTAGGAAAATGTCATCTGCAGTTTATGATTACATGATGACCCAAAATGTGCTGCATCTTGAATTGTCACTATTGTCCTTTAAAATTTGCTATAAGCAAGCATCTATTTCTTGTGTTATCCCACACTTATGGACATGCAGCTAATCAAAGAACTCAATAGATAAAGCTTCCTGATTTAAAAAGCTGCTAATCAGTTTCCTTTAAATTGTATTTACATCTAGCTCAATTTTTCTTTTAAATCTACTATTATTTTTCTACTTTTTTTTATTATACAAAGAATCATGCCAGGAACTGGTAAGAAAACTAGTCAGCAACAGAGATTGGTAATTTTCAAATCTAGGAATAAACACTATGCAGGAAAAGGCTTATTGTCAATATTCCAGAGTGTCTAATTAACGGACAAGTTTGAAAGTCTATAAGAAGCTGGCATCAACTACACTTCTATTCAACAAGACCTAAGCAATAGTTTTTGTTAAAGTTACAGATAGTAAGATATTGTTTTAAAATCAAGTATCTTTACTTAAACCTGGCTATAGAATGTTTACAATTACTTTTGTAAAAAACTTAAGCTCATGAAACAAAATTTTATTCTTCTTATTAAAGCAGATTTCCCTAACTCAGTAGTCTACCAATCCTTACTAATTAGTTATGACTAAAGTAATTTAAAATTATTCTTTTTAGTTCAAATGTTTTAGGAAGAGCCAATTCTAGACCAAGGTAATAGGAAACAAGAAGTAAACTATAAGCTCTCCACCTTGAAGGAACGGGAAAATGAAACTGAAATTTATCAAAACTTGGTGATGAGAAGAAAATAAATATATAACAAAGAACATGGACTTAGTGGGAACAATGAGTTTTATTTGAGAGATACAATAATCAAATATCACTGCGAATAGAAACACTAGACTTTAGCAAACCCTTTCTTCACTGATCCTGAACAAGATCTTCAATTTTATATATCTAAAACACTCCAGGCAAACTATATAAACCACAAGTCATCTAATAACCTTGGGAGTATAAATTTTTGTACAGTATGTTAAATGATCAAATAAACAAGTACCTCCCAAATTTTAAATTAGTTTATTAGTGATAAACTGTACTTTAGCAGTAAAATATTTTTTAAGAAGACATAATTAATAAATAAAATTATATGCCTACCAAATGAATACAATGAAACTGAATTCTTTTTTAAAAAATGTTTGGAAATAATTATAGATTCATAAGAGGTTACAAAAGGAATGTAGAGTCTATGTGCCTTTCCCCCAAACTCTTGCTTTACTTTTTTTCCAGACAAGGTCTTGCTATGTTCTCCTGGCTCAAGCAAAGCTCCTATCTCAGCCTCCTTAGTACTGAGTAGTTAAGACTACAGTCATGTACTACCATGTTCAGCAACCTCTTCCATCTTAACAACTTTGGTATCTTTTGGTTACATATTAGAAATGAAAAGGAAGAAAAATGCTAACTATATCAAACTTTCTTAGGAAAACAACTCAAAAAGTTTATGTATATGTGGGAAAAATGTGGCTTAAGGGCTTCTTTTGGCAGGGAAGAATGTGATTTAAGGGTCATTAAGGACTTTCAGATTTTATATTTAAAAGGAGAATTTAAAAGTTTGAAAATTAAACCACAAAAATTCTGTTGGTTGTCCCAAAACAAAGATTGGCACCATGTATACTCTGTGTTCTCTGAATAGGGAAAAAAAAATGCATGAGGGAGATACATCATTATGAGAAACAAAAAAAAATTTCTTGAAAACAGGAGCATTTCTTAAAATACAGTCATTCTTTAATTACCTACAAATTGAATCATTTTCCCTTAATAAAAATGAACATATTTGTAAGAAGATTTGATTCCATAGTAAGTTGTAGTGTAGCTTATCAATACTCTATAAATGCATTTGACAAAGAAAACAGGTAGGTACCAGTGGGGGTGGTGGCTCATACCTGTACTCCAAAAAGTTCCAGGCCAGCCTGGGTGACAATGTCAGTTCCAGGCCAGCTATATAAGACTCTGTATCACCAAAAAAAAAAAAAAAGAAAGAAAGAAAAGAAAAGAAAATAGGTATCTACCCCCTCTACTTTACTCGTTCAGTAAGTTATTCATTCCTTTTTAGCTATATAATTAACACTAGGCTTTTTCTGTTTGTGACTTGCCTTATAGTTCACATACTAAACATACAAATGAGACACAAATGTATCTCACATTATATACTAGGCTAACTTAAGGGAAATATAGGACTGTGGAGTTGAATATTTCTAGGAAGCAAATAATCTTTGATTATTACCCATAAATGCCTATAACTAGTATTAGATTTGGGTATGTATCTATCAGATGTTTTATGTTAAGAAAGACTAGGGGTTGGAGATATGACTCAGGGGCAGATTACTGGTTGCCTAGAATCATGAGACCCCTGCCCCAACTCTAACGCCCCCAAAAAACAAAGATAGATTAGTATTTTAAACTGAGAGCCCCTTGCCTCTCAATCCCTGCTTCTAAGTTATCTTCGTTCATTAGTAGTGTCCATACTTGGGTAGAATAAATGGCAGTCAATTATCATGAGAGTGCCTTGTTTGAGAATCTATTGTTTTACAAACAAAGCAAAACAAAACAGTGCAGAGGGAATATCTACTTCATTTATTTTTCTGGGATTTAGTTGTGTGATTTATAGTAGTTCTAAAAACTATGTAATAGTCATACAGTTAAATAGGATATTTATTGAAGCTGGGCAAGGTGGTGCACACCTGTAATCCTAGCACTTCAGAAGCTTAGAAGTGAGGATTACAAGTTCAAGACCAGCCTAGGGTATATATCAAGACCCTGTCTTAAAAACAAACAAACAAACAAACAAACAGAGAAACATTTAATATACTATAAGAATATTAGAGAGCATCTCAAGGACTTTTCCAATGGTAGTAGCAGGAATGGTGAAAACACTTCTAGATCACTAAAAATACCAGCAAAGGAAGGAACAATTACAGCATTTCCTTGCTCTCCATGTGACAGTTTCTGGAATCCCAAAATAAACAGATTTTTTGCTTTTTTTAAATTTAAGTTCTGTGAAGTTTAGCTTTCTGGCTGATAAAAGTCCCATTATATAAGATGCATCTATACACTGAGCTAGAGAACAAACATACATCTTTTTATCCCTCAGAGTCAATACTCACTTGAACTTATAATTTCCAAAAACAATCTTCACAGCAATAGGGATGGTCATTCAAAAACAAAAGATGTTAAGTTAATCCAGACGAGTATCCACACAGTAAGGATGGACAGGCAAGGCAAGAATCTTTTACTGAATCCATCAGAAATGACTTTCATAAAAATAAAAATCATGTATCAAGAAATACTACCTTCATTCTATTGAAAAGTGTCTTCTATTTGGTTTTCAACTTAACTTTCTATTTAAAGAAGCAAATCCTGGACTAGTGGAGTGGCGCAAGTGGTTAGAGTGCCTGCCTAGCAACCAACAAGCCCTGAGTTCAAACCCCAGTGCCACCAAAAAAAAATAGCAAATCCTGTGTTTAAGTGGACATTATGATATGTCCATTGCCCAACTTTAAGGCCACTTTGCACGTGGCAAGCTAGAGGCTATCCTGAACTTCACAGCGAGACCCTGCCTCAAAACATAAAGCAAGCCAGTCATCTTATTCTTAAAGCCAACAACTAGCAAATGGAAAAGACAAAAAGAAATGTTCAAAAGAAACAGCATTTTGGCTGAAAAGTTATTTATAAAAGTAATCTTGGCTAAAGGAATTTTTATACTCAACTTCTGATATTTTAGTGAAGAGTTCAAGATGGGAAAATCTATAAATGCAAATTAGGCACTGCTTGTTGGTGCTAAAACAATCATGTGAAATATTTAGCCTTTGCCTATCCAAAATACCTTTAATTTCAATACTTACTCTGAGCCTGCAGCCATTTCCAAGTATGACGCTTCTGCTGTATCAACCCCCAATGGGATCACTATGCTCATGACGTTCGCCTCTGGTAAATTCGATTACTATGGAGTCCTATGCATTGGTATCCAAAACACTGGGGCATGCCAGCCACAGTGCTCATTGCAAACATCTAAGTGCATCCACAAACCCTGTTTAAAAGATATGAACACAACAGTTAAGAATCATCTTAACTAACAACAGTCTAGCAGCAATCACACTACATACAACAGTAAGTAAAATTCATGAAGAAAGCATTATTTGTTAAGATCTTAACATAAAAGGGAATTTGTATCTATTTCATTAATTTTTCTGCAATTAAGTTGTGTGATTATGATCAAAAGACAAGTTTCTGGGGATAGAGTGAAACAGTAAGAACATGTGTTTAGCATATCTGAGGCTCTGAATTAATTCCCAGCACAAGAAAAAAAGTTTATGAATCATAACCTTCCTTAGGGAATGGATCAGGATGCCACAAGAAGTATTGCTAAAGGCTTATTGTTCAGTGAATAACCAATGAATATTCATTTTAAAAGATAAAGTGCAATTTCTTATACTGCTACTATCCAAAAACAAGTTTTTTAGGTTCAGTTTAGGATCTAGCATAGTAGGACTTTTTTTTTTTTCCCAGTACCAGAGTTTGAACACAGGACCTACACTTCAAGCCACTCCACTGGCCCTTTTTTTGAGATGAGTTTTTTTGAGATAGGGTCTCATCAACTATTTGCCCCAGCTGGCTTCGAACCACAATTCTCCTGAGTAGCCAGGAGCACAGGTGTGAGCCACTGGCGCCCAGCCATAGTAAGACTTCTTAGTGAATAATCAATCCTTGAAATTCCAAGGCGGGTATCTACCTTTATTTTGTCACTAAGGACCGTGAAACTAAGAAAGGTTAACTTGACAAATGTTGCTCAGCTTAAGAGATGACACTGGGATCTACCCCAATTCTACCCTACTGTTTATATATGTATACAAAGAAAACTATTCTATTTATAATAAAATCAATCATCTTACAGTGCCTGTCATCTTCCATAATATGTAAATATCTATGCTTATCAAGGGGATTCTTTATTCTTTTTCAGTTACCATTGACATAAAGACCCTATCTGAAAAATAATAATGCAAAAAAAAACTGGGACCATGGCTCAGGTGGTAGACCACCTGTTTATCAAGAATAAAGCCTTGAATTCAAACCCTGGTAGGGGGTGGGGGTGGGCGGGAGGTATTTGAATTCAAAATCACCTTTTTTTCCTAAATTCACTCAATACCACTTGCTATATGTTGAATAGCAATTTAGGAACAAAACAGATATGGACAATCTTATAAACTGGAAAGCAGCACAAGCACAGTCAATATCTGTCTCTGTATTATACCTGAAATAAAGAACAGCAGCGTTTCTTCAAATAGTAGACCTTATATTTGCCTTTAATTTTTACAATCAAGCTTTAGAATATCCACTCAGGTTAATTCTCATTCTCACAACAGATTGTGAGTTCATAACTCATGAATTGGGGGGAAAAAAGTATTAACAATGGTTTGAATATGATAAAAATTCAAACCATATGTAACTAGGAGAAAGCTATTAGAGTACAAATTATTATAATCTAAAAATAAGTTGGACATGTTGGCACATGCCTGTAGCCCCAGCTACTCCAAGAGAGTGAGGACAGGAGGATCATGTTGAGCCCAGCAATTGAAGACCAGCCTGAGAAACACGAAGAGACCTTGCCTCAAAAACAAACAAACTAACAAACCACACCTAATTATGCCTAAATATTAAGAATATTAACTTTGAAGGCTGCCTCTACCACTTATTAGATGTGTGAGACTAGGCAAATTATTTCACCCTAAGTATCATGTTCAATGTTTATGAAATGAGGCTTTATCCTCAGAGTGTTTCTGTGAAGCAAATGAAATAATGAACGTAAAGCATTTCAAAGAGTGCATTATATACATTTAGCAATCAATACTTAAAACAAGTTGCGCATCCCTAATCCAAAAATCTGAAATCCAACATGTTGTAAAGTATGCTCAATTTTCAGATTTTTGAATGAGGGATGCTTGACTTTT